GTCTGCTCAAGCAAGTCACTTCACCTCTCTGAATCCGTTTCTTCTCTGTAAATGGGAGAATAGCAGCTTCGGAGGTCTGCCATGTGCAGTAAAGAAGGTAGTATGCTAAAGCACAGGAGTTATTGGACAACTTGTAATGCAAAGAGGAAAGGGACAAGCAATATGTTAAGACAGAGGAGCAGAAGACACACCACAGACATATGGTGGGAAGGAAACTAGTCTCACACTCCCCCTTTAATGATTTCAGTGGACACAACTGTTACAAGAGAGCAGGGGTGAGGACACAGACAGGGAATATATTCCTCCGTGAGGAATTATCCTTCCCTCACGGAGCTGAGAGTCTGGTTGGGAGATGAGGCTTACAGAATTGAAGACCTGAGCAAACCAAATGCCTAGAGCAACTGGTTGTTGGTGCCTTGATGGACCAAGAAAACCAGAACAGAAGCCCCTCCTCTTTCAATCCTGAGCGTCTAGGATTCTAGAAGAGCAAGTGTTTATGGAAGATTTAGTTCTCAGGCTGGACCTTGAAGAATGGTACAATTAGGATATGACCATTGGGGGAAAGTGGGAGAGACCACAGCGATTGGATAGGGTCAGCTTATGACAGGCCAAGGAATTCATCAGCCAGCCGGCCCTTGCCCTGGATGGTGCTGGGGAGCCATTGAAGGTCTTGAGTCAAAGAGTATCCTCTGGAAGATAATACTTACAACAGCTTAGTCTAGCAGCAGTAATGATAAAGGTAAAGGAGGAAGGGAGGAGTGGGGGAGGCTAGAAAGGGGATGAGGACAGGACAGGTGGTAATCTGCACTGAATCCTGCCTTTGAGCCAGTCATCAAGTCTGGCTGATCTCTCCCTTGAAATAGCTCATCCCCATCCCTTCTATAACTATATCATTCATCCAAGGAATAAGTTCTCCAGCTGGATTGACTGGAAGACAGATGCCACTGACAGAGGTTAAGGCAGTTGAAGTTGAGAACCAGCGTCATTGACGATGGAGAATAAATCTGGTTTTTGACACTTGGGATTTGGGGTAATAGCTGAATGTTCAAGTGACAAAGTAAAGTTGAACTGACTTTTTCAACATGACTAGAAGCAACTTTTCTACTCAACATGAAATTGGAGAGTCTAACCAAAATCAGATATAGGGTAAAAAAAGAAAAAATTGAACATACCCTGTCACTCTTTTTTTTCTCTTTTGATGTGTAAATTACCATGTGGGGGAACTGAGTATATTTGCATAGCTTGTATTTTCTTCAGCATGGGGAATGATAAACAGAATTATGATGGAAATGTTATATAAGTTTGTTAAACCAAAATAAAAATGAGTAAGTAGGGAATGCAAAATGCTGGATTATGGGGGTAAGTATTTTAACTTCTGGGGGCCATGATTTGAAAAACTCTTATATCTCTTATGTCACCGGATCCTAAAAATGGATTTATGACTAATATAAATGATACTAGGATGGTGCTAAAGCATTATTTTAACTATTTGGAAGGAAGACAGCTCCTTAGAGGGGAAACCATCTTTCCATTCCATCTGTAAAAACTATAGGAAAACTTCACCAGACCACTGGGCTTATAATGTTCAGTCTTGGGTGCTAACATTGCTTAATTTCTTCACTCAAGAAGCCTCCTGAAGATGCTTGCCCTGTTTCTCAATTATTGGAGGATCCCTCCCCCCCCTTAACCTTTTGGGTTCTCTCCCCTTTTATCTCCTCCCTCTCATGCCTTATTGGTAGCAGCTCTAAAGCAGTAGTTATGAAAGGGTTAGGAAATTTTTATTTGAAGCAGAGATGAGTATGTGGCTTGGGAGGGAAGGGAAAAGGACTAAATAAGAGGAAGTGACTCCAAGCTGTTAGGAAAGAGAAGACCATTAATAGCAACATCTTGATTTCATTAGGAGGTGAGCTGAAGCCATCCGAAACAGGCAGGGAACTAGGTGATAATAAGAGAAAATGTGTTTCTCAGACAAAGGAGCAGACAGCAGGGGACAGCGGCTCAGGGAAGGAGGCGACCATCAGGGAGAGTGTGCAGAGAGGACGTGCTAATCCCTCTGAACTGTACCAGCAGAAGCTCAGGGCCGTTTGAACTCCTTGGCAGCGGCAGCCTGGCCTCAAAGTACATCGTGAGGAATGAGAACAAAAGAAAAGTTCACTCTGAGTTCCTCTTGTCAAAGCAGGGGAATTTGCTTTGAGGCCAGCACTAGGAGATGCTAATGGTAGAAAGCGAACCAAGTAAAAGAAGAAAAAAAACTGTGCCAGGTCACCGGGAGCCTGCCTGGCGTAGAGCGAGATAAAACCACCACTGACAAGACATTCAGCCCAGGTCCCACCACGCACCGCTGTGCGAGCCACTTCTAACCTGTGCTGAGCTGGCTACAATCCGAGGAGAAGGCCTCAGCTGCTCCAAGAATATTCGTTCACTTGACAAACCATAACTGAGCTCTTACGGTGTCAGCCAGGACTATTGCTGTTAATGCTGGAAGGTGCAACAGGAGCCCTTATGTCCTGGTACCAACCGGTTTTGTGAGTCAGAAAGGATCACTGGAAAGTGGGTACTGGGAAATCGCTGCTGACCCTGGAAGGGCACAGCTCAGCAGAAAATGCAGGAAGTGTAGGAGAGCCAGAGTGGTAACTGGAAAGAAACAAGTGTCTGTTTAAAATCCTGGAGAGGAAAGACCCACTGACTGCTGGTCTTCCTTCTCCGAGCCTAGCAGTTCTCATCCGTAAAATCGGCTGAATGGCTGAACAGGATGATGCATTCTTTCCCTTTGAGCAGATTCGAAATGAGGCTGGGAGTTTTCTGGGGATCGCGCCATGGAGTTGGGAAAACGTGGGGGTCTCTTAATGTGGGAATCTAGAAACCAGAGGTGCTTTTTCTGTACGTTTTGATGAGTCACCGAGAAAATTTAAAATGTTAAAGATGTCACAAAGCTTTCGCTCCAAATTCTAAACCTGAGGCTGCCAACTCGGAGCACCTAGGTTTTGTTTGGCTAGCAGAATATTTTTTAAAACTCGAACCAGCATTTACAAATTGTGAGATTTCTGAAAATCCAGATTTGGGGCTTCGCTGAGAGACTGGAAGATCTGATGGCACTGGCCCCACATCAGCAAGTGGTGAGAGGTGGGTAGCAGCTGTCCCATTTAGATGAGGCACCTGCTCTCCGGTTTGACCATCTCTACCACTCATCATGGGGACCATATAATTTGTCATCCAAACTAAAGCACTTTTAAAAGTAAAAGAGGGTGCTGTTTGTAATTATGCCTGGATGCACAGACACAAACCAGGGCTATTATGGGCAATGAGGATGTATGGTTACCCTAATTCCTGTTGCTTACACTGGGCTTGCTCTTCTTTTTTGCCCACTGTTACTTGGGTTATGTGGTCCTAAGTCAGGGACTCCCCTGAGGAAAATGGGGAGAGAAAAGGTATAAAGTGAGGATGAGACCTGAACGTTGAAAAACAGGGAAAGAAATGAAAAAGAATATTCAAATGAATGCCAATTACACAAAACCTTCAGGTGGAGGCAGAGCCTTGCTGGTGCCTGGCTCAGTATGTAAGTTTGACCTTCCAGGCTCCCTGCCCTCCACAGCACTGTCAGTTTTAATAAGCTGTAATCCCATAGCTACGAGCGAGACTAATCAAACTGCAGAGAGCAGCCTGTTCCTAATCAGGAAGGCACAGGATCATCATTTAACTCTGTGGTTTCTCAGTGAGCTCCAAGCTGCCTTGACAGGAAAAAAAAAAAAAAAAAAAATCCTGCATAAGATAGTTGCTTACACTCTCGAATCTTGACCTTTTGATGGTCTTTGTTTGAAATTTTTATTAAAATGCTTTAATTACCCAAGTATTTGGCTTAAAAAAATATTTTAGAAGCATCTTTTCCCCTTTATTCCCAGAGAAGAATAGAGTAGCATTCCCCCAGGGCACTTTAGGACACCTCAGACTGCCATTGATTTCCTGAGTCCCCTTGAACTGACTGCAGACCCCAACCCTTTCAACACCCACTCAGGGTGTGATTACAGTCCCCAGATTGGGGGCGGGAGAAGTGGGGGACGTGGAATGGCAACTCACGTTGAGCACCTACAGGGGCCAGCATGGGCCCTTCCCCATGGCAGGAGTGGGAGCCAGGCCACGCCGCAGTGAGGCTCCAGAAGCCCCCAACACCTCGGGGCCATATGGCCCTTCTAGTTCTCCCCCTAGAGGAACTAGGGGCTACTTCAACCCAGGGGCAAGTCACAAGAAGCTATTTAGTGCAATGCTTTAACTGCAGAATGTTAGTCAGATGTGGCTAAAGTTTAACTTGGAAGCTGACTAGTGGTAGGCCCTTAGGCAAATTACTCAACCTTCCAGAAATTCCTGGTAGGCCCTTAGGCAGGCTACTCAGCCTTCCTGAAACCCAGTTTTTTTTTTTTTTGAAGATTTTATTTATTTATTTGACACAGAGAGAGCGAGAGAGAGACAGCTAGAGAGGGAACACAAGCAGGGGGAGCGGGAGAGGGAGAAGCAGGCTCTTGGCTGAGCAGGGAGCCCGTTGTGGGGCTCAATCCCAGGACTGTGGAATCATGACCCAAGCCGAAGTCAGGCGCTTAATGACTGAGCCACCCAGGCACCCCTTCCTGAAACCTAGGTCTTAACATAGGAATAATATCCACACCTCATAACCGCGCTCTAAGGGTCAACGAGATATATAAGGAAAGCATTTACAAGGTGACTGGTACGTTAAAAATGCTCTCCATAGGTTATGGTTATTATTATTTTTATTATGTGCTAGCATGGCCTTAAGGCCCCTAATTATATAATTTAAAGAGACAGATACATTGCTGAATCTCCTTGGATTCTGCATTTAGTGTGAGTGCACTTAAAACAATGGACCACAGATGAAATAAATGTAGAAAAAAATTCTTTTCCAATGGAGAACATTTCTAGTACCATGGAAATTTAATAGGTTGCCTAACAGACTCACTAGTATTTACAGGAAACAAGACAGTATATTTTTTTAATTAAAAATGTTTATTGGCTATTGACTTTAATTGACTTACATTAAAGGAAAAAAACATTTTTTCCAAATGTGCTAATAAGAAAAAGACCCAGAAAAATGAACAATGCTTGAGCAGAACACAGTGTTTTGAACATAAATAAAACTCATAAATTTTATATGGACTCTGGGATATTAATACTCTTCCAACAATGGATATGGCCTTGAACAGGAATATAAACATATGAACGAGTCTAGTCCAATATATTTCAAAGCAAGCAGATCCTTGAGAGCAGAACTCTTTCCTAACTACCCTTGCCATTCATGGAGAGACTATAGGAATGTCATGGACATTCCTAAATCATTAATAAAAGAAAAACATATAGATACCTAACACATAAAAATAGAGTAACCACATAATTAAAAACAATGTCAGTAATGCCCACTGAAATGAAAAAAATAGCAAAATATAGCCTAAGAATGTAAAACAAATATATTCCATGCTCCTACAAAAACAAAGGCATTTTTTTGGTTCTGTTGGTTGTTTTTACAAAAACTATGTGTGAATGTACTCTTACAGAAAACATGACAAATATAGAAAAGCCCAAGGAAAATAAAAATCACCTGTCACATCAGCACGAATGTCACTCCTTTGGTGAGAGCAGAAAAAACTCATAGAATCAGAGATGATCCAGGAAGGTCTTCCCAGTCTCAGGATCTGCTGATGCCAACTCACCAACCACTTCAGAAGTCACAGGCCAAACCTCTTTCTAGGCTCTCAAACATCTCGACTGTTGCCTGATTCCTGGTACCACTGCACTTTTCACTAGGCCAACAGTGATCAGTAAACAAGGACACAAGAAGGTTATGACTGTCATTGACAACTTTTTGTTCCCCCAACATTACAGCTAGATAGAATCTTGGAAGTTCATGTAGTCCTACCCCCCATGCCTGACCATGTTTGTTCAGGAGGAAATAGGCATGGAGGGGTTAAGTGATTTGCCTGGTGTCACAGCTGAGTAGAACTGAAACCCAAGCTTCCATTTGCCAGGCCAGGGCTCTGTCCAAGTGAACACATGGTGAATGAATCTCCCCAACTGCTGGGGCTACAGTTCTTATGTGGTCAGACTATTAATGGCCTGAAGGGCAGACCAAAGTGGATCTGTATGACCAAATGAAAGCATCTAGGCAAACTTTCACCTCGTAACCGGCAATTGCATGGGCTCTCAGGAGACAAGTCACACATAGATCATGTGGTCAAACGAAGGTGCCCTGGGCCAACTGATCCTAGGAGCAATGTGTGAGCCCCACATTCCATGAAGATGCGAGCCTACTTAAGTCACCAGAACCTTTTCTGACTGACTGCAGCAGTGAGGCAGCTTGGAAGGCACAAGTGTCTAAGAGGCTCCTGAGAATATAAGGATTAAAACTAGGAAACTCTTAAAATTAGCCAGATTGCTTTTACAGTCAGCAGTCATGTGTCTACAGAAGTCATGCTGCTCGTGACCAATCATCCCTTTTCAAGCTCTGATCCAACTCTCTGAACCCACACAATCTCATCAACCCTGCTTCAGGGCTGCCCCTTCACAACTAAAGCTTTTGTCTTTGACTAAACGAATCTCCATTGACTGAAAGTTAGCACTGAAATATTAGAGGTCATGGTTCAATTCTTTCTGATCAGCTGGGGTCACTTAAGTCTTTGGAAGAAATCTCTTTACCCTCAAGTCAGCAGAGTTTGTTCAAACGTTCCTTATTTATAAGCAGATCCTATTCTCAAATATAAATGATTAAAGCTAAGATCATTTCTTGTTCTCTTCTTCCCACATTCCAACAGCGGGACAGGCTCAGTGTAAAGAGTCAGACTTGCGTATGCCAGGTCTCAAGATGCTTGCCTGCGGATGAGCTCTTTCAACTGTGACAGTCTGTCGCTTTTTAGTGCTTCCCGGATGGAGTGGAAAAATCCAAAATAGTGTTCAAAGTTGTGCATCATAAGCAGGACCCCAGCCAACAGCTCGTTGGTCACCAGCAGATGGTGGATGTACGCACGAGTATGATTCTTACAGCAGTAACAGGAACACCCTCTCACAAGTGGATCAAAGTCCTCCTGGTACCTGAGAAAGGAAGTTACAACAATAGTCGAGAAAATGAGGAATACAAGCGATCCACAGCCTTGGCTATCTATTCTGCTGGTACATAACCAATAATTAATAACCTCACTGGCAAATGTAGTGCTGGGCACCTGCTTAGGATGACAATGTGGTGAAAAGTTAACCTAGGGCACGATGAGTCAGGAGACTCGGGAATCTTCCCCTGACAGATCTAACTTCCGGGACTGAGGCTTACACAAGAGCATCAGGAGAGAGTCCCAGGGTCACTCCCTCATGCTGAGCTTTGTTAGTCACACTGTAATGGCACACAAGGACAATAAATGCTGTTCTGATGCATGACACACGTCTCCCACTCACCACCAGAACTAGTACAGAAGACATGGTACGACCTTTCACTTGCAGAGCTTTTGTGTGTGTGTGTGGACTGCAAAGCACTTTGACATACACAGTCTCACTTAACCTCTGCAAACACCTTTGAAGACAGGCATTTTTATTGTCACTTCCCAATGAAGACTACTAAGGGGGTCGAGAGGAAGGGCTCCCGAGCTACAGGGCCTTAGGTCTGATGCCCAGCTCACAACTCACTTGGGCAAGTCACTTAACTTGCCTCTGTGTCTTTGTTTTCTCATCTGTAGTGGTAATAACTATGATAACAGCATCTACCTTAGGGAGTTATTACAAGAATTAAGTGAGTTAATATAGCAAAGGATTCTCTCTCTGTGTCAAATAAATAAAATCTTAAAAAAAAGGGGGGGGGCCACCTGGGTGGCTCACTCTGTTGGGCATCTGCCTTCGGCTTGGGTCATGATCCCAGGGTTCTGGGATTGAGCCCCACGTCCATCATGCTCCCTGCTCAGTGGGGAGCCTGCTTTTCCTTCTCCCTCTGCCTGCCGCTCCCCCTGCTGTGCGCTCTCTCTCTCTCTCTGTCAAATAAATCTTACTATTAGCACCACGCTCTAACCAACTGAGCTAACTGGCCTGCTCATTGTCAAATAAATCTTAAAAAAAAAAACAAAAAACCCAAAGGATTTGTACACTGCTCGGCACATACTAAGCACTACATATGTGTTACTTTTTATCAGCTATTAAAAAGAAGTTAAGGGGCGCCTGGCTGGCCCAGTCAGTAGAATATGCAACTCTCGATCTCAGGGATGTTGAGTTCAAGCCCCACATTGGGCATGGAGCTTACTTTAAAAAAAAAGGAAGTTAAATGACTTGACCAAGGTCACAGAGCCAATGAGCAGTGCTAGGCTCTGAACTTCAAGTCTAGTGCTGACAATAAAAGAACTACAATTTCCAGTTACACCTATAATGTGAGAGAAGTTTAGTAGTAACCCATTTATATTACCCTAGCATTTGAAAAACAGAAATGAATCTCCTTGTCTATTTTTCAAGTTAAATGTAGTAAACATCACCATTTCAGACCTACAATCAAGAAGCCTCTATAGAATATAGATCAGACCTAGGATTTTCATATTCTTTCATAAATTTTCAAGTCTGTACTATTCCTAGATGGACATAAATTAAATCTGAATCCCTAGAATGTTCCTTTACATAAGACAAAAAACACCCCAGCACTAAAGTGAGAATACCAAACTCACAGAAAAACCTCTCAGCGGTTCACTAATAATTACAACTTTGGGCCAAATACAAAATTACAAGATATCTTAGTTCATTCTTTATAGAGGGAAATATTTTATTAAGATTTATGACCTGTATATAACCAAGATGACTTAAGTTCCTTAGAATTGAAACACTTTGTTGTTTTTTATCTTTAAATCTTTATTTTGCTCTGACATTATTTAAAGTAATCAGAAAGAGTAAAAGACACCAGACAATAGATTTGGTCTAATCTTTCTGACAGCTCTTCTAAAACACCACTTTTCTAGCCTCGGTTTTCTGACAAGACAAAGTACACAAACTCATCTGCAGAAAAAATGAGTTTTTCTGGAACTGAATTTAAGAAGGCCCAAATAATATCCAACTATAAATATTTTATGAAGTCATAAACTGAAAAGGGAACGGTTACATAAACTTTTAAAACAGACTAAAATTAAAAAGTCAGAAATCAAAATCTAAAAAAAATTCCTTACTTTTTTTCCTTCAGATTAATTTCAAATGATGTCATTTCTTGGTTGCAACTGGTTGTTTTAATTTTCTTTGTTTGATCCACATATTTTATTTCTTCCTGTATCCCATTTTGTTGTAATACTGAAGGACAAACCAACAACAAGTCTTGAATAAAAATCAGATAAAGACTGGCCATTGGGAGATTATTTCAGTAACTATTTTATGGCCTTTGACCCTGTAAATTCCATTCATGAGAATTTATCCTAAGGAAATGACATAAGAAAAGTAGTAATATGGGTCAAGATGATCACTGACATATTCTCTATAACATCAAAACTTGGAGATTCAACAATGTCTAAGCAAACTATGGTTACAAGTAGATAATATATAATCTTACTGTCAAAGAGTGATTTTAAGAAAACAGTTGGGGAGAGTGTGTGTGTGTGTGTGTGTGTTTGAGAGAGACAGAGATAAATTTGTGAGTGTATATTGGAGTTATGTCTCATCATCATATCCATGCAAATTAATTGTGCTTTGTAACTGCTTATGTTCCAAATAGATTAAAAGTACAATATGGTTTTAATTTATGTATTTTATGGGGACCCTAGCCTTCCAGGGAACTCAGATTATCCAGAACTATATGGGGACTTGAGTTGTTCCCTTGAACTCTTTAAGAAAGAACATTCCTGGATATATAAGGAAAACACCAGTTACTATGCAAAGAGCCAGCTGTCTTGAACAAGGGCAAGTAGAGAAGTTTTATTGGGAAGGAGTAGTAACAAACGCAGGGTCAGCCCAAGGAGAATGGGCAGACAGTCCTAAGAAGGTAATTTTGTTCAGATCAAAGGAAAGAGAGAAGTGACCTGAGCACTGAGCAGAGGACTATTATAATTTTGCTGCCATGAATTTGCATGCTGATGTGGGAAACCACAATAATGCCCTGGCTTTCTGGAAAATCCTTATCACTAGGGGGAACTATATTAGTTCCTATATTAGGCAACTTATTCCTTTGTAATTTTCACTTTGCAATTAACAAAAGACTTTAATTTACTACATATACACACACACAAATATGATTAATAATAATACTTTAGTGGAAAATGTTCAAACTATTTCAATTTTCCTGATCATAAAGAAACAGCTTTCTCTAGCCAAAAAGGAATTTGTCTGTTCTGGAGAACTCAATATCAGGTTCTTATGTTTTACATATTCATGGTACAGAATGATTAACAGTTACCCATGTCCTTGTGGAAATAATTAAGCTTGTAAATGAACATTTATAGTGTTTGTGGTATGCTTTTCCACCCGTATACATTATGTTCTAGGCAGTTTAAAGGACAGCAAAACTGACCTCTTATATATAAGAATTTGACCAATCTGATTTATTTTGTTTCCAGAAGTAATTCAATTTCTGTTAATTGTTAGATTACTTTACAAAACTGTAACATCTTCTGGATGAAATTTTAATAACTTGTGGGGAAGAAAATGAATCTTTAAGGAAGTCTCTGGCCCAAGCTAAATGTAGGGCCAGCAGTGACAGAGGAGGAATTCAAAGGACAGCAGGAAATGGGAAAGGAAATCACACCGGTGAAGGCCAGAGGGCAGACAAGGCATGCAACACTCTCCAGAAAAACTGGGTAGATACTCTAAGGGACCCCGGCCCAAAGCCCATATCCCAACTCTTTTTCTATTGTCAGTCAAATGTCAGACTCTGAAACTGATATTCTTGACTTCTGAATAACTAAGCAATACAAGAAAATGGTGGTGCTTCAAAGAATATTAGCTTTCACATCCCTGTGTGTAAAAAAACCAAAAAACAAAAAAAGCAAAAGTAACACTAGGATCAGAGGGGGTGAGAGACTCCCTGAATTCTGATAGCATGGGGTTTGCAAAAAGCAGACAAGAACTCTTTTGTGAAAAACTAAATTAACTTTTACTAAGTAGTTCAAAGGTTTTCTGTTCTTAGATTTTCATCACTATTCACTCTGAATGTTCTTTTTTCAGATTGTTAATAGAAAGGGTTTTGTTTTTCTTGGTTCTGCTCACTTTAAGATCACTCCATAATATTGAGGAGCTACGGTTTTGTATGCCAACATGCCAGAGCATACAGATAAGAAACAAACATGGTAGTTTTATAAAAGGCTGGCGTTATAGTATGCACATATTTCTGGCTTGTGATTCAAGGCCAGTAATGAAAAGGAAATAGAAGAAACTTAAGGATAACAGAGACTAACTTCAGAAGACCTACGTGTCTCTTCAGGGTTCGGCTGGTAATCAAAGCTGAAAGTCAGGGCACATCCCCGCTCTGTCACTTGATAAGGGAAAAAACTCTCAAATAAGTCCACTCCCCTTTCAATACACTCGAGGACCTCATCTGGCCGGCTGACTCCACAGATTAGCCTGTGAAAACAACAGTAAGAACAGTGATATGAGGACAATGCCAGGAATGGAAGCAGAGACTCTTCCCAGAGGGCGTTAAAAGTAGTAATAATGAGGGCACCTGGGTGGCTCAGTCGGTTAAGCATCTGCCTTCAGTTCAGGCCATGATCCCAGGGTCCTGGGATTGAGCCCCATGTCCAGCACCACGCTCAAGTCCACTTCTCCCTCTCCCCCTTTCCCTCTCCCTCTACCCCTCCCCCTGCTCATGCACACTCTCTCAAATAAAATCTTTAAAAAAAAAAAAAAGTAGTAATAATGAAACCCACCAACCACAGTTGCATGGCAGACAACAGATAATAAGGTGTGATAGAAAGGACATAGGACTTTGACAGCAGAGAGACCTGGGCTCGAATCCCAGCTCTGCCTTTTATTTACTTACTGTGCTATTTGGGGAAGGTTTCTTAACCATTCTGGGTTTTAGTTTTCTAATCTTAAAAACAAGAGCAGTAATACATACCTCACAGATTTGTTGTAAAGATTAAGGAGATATTTGAAAAAGCACACTGTGGAGTTTCGGGTCCCAAAGAGAAGTTCAATAAAGGTTAGTTTCCTTTCCCCTCCCATTCCTTCTAAACAACCTCCCTAGTCTTCAACTGAACTTTACAGCCTGTGTATCCATGACATAAGACTTTTTTGAGGGTGCAAAGCTATATGTCAACTATACATCAATTTTTTTAAAAAAATTTTTTAAAGAGTGCAAAGCTGTGTGCTTTATTTCCCCCTCAAATACTTTCCATGTTTTAACTGTATTTTGCCTAGAATTCTTTTTCATAATTGGCTCAAGAAAGATATTTTTTATCTACTGTATTCTTTATAGGTTCATTTGCAAAGCAACTCTTGCTCTCAGAATTTCAACTCTGCCCATATGATCTGAGACTCTATTTGACTTTCTTTATTCTTCTTTTATTTTCTCCATTAATAAAGAGTCTGCATGGTGGGATGAGATGGTATTTTCAGAGGTAATCGGTAAGGCATTCTGGGAGTTATCATACCACTCAACCGGGTTTTGCCACTAAAACAAGAGGGGGAGGTGCACTTGATCAGGGTTGGCTGGCTGGCTGGCTGCTATCTTTTGTTTGTTTTTCTACCCATAGTCCCTTTTATAAACTGGTGGAGAAAAGCTTACAGACTCCCTGATTTCTAAGAGAAGTCCAAAAAAGGCTTATGTAATATTAAACAACCAGAACACTTAAATATATGCCGGTTTTTCTGACTACAGTTTCCTTCAACTAATGTAATGTTTTAGAACTCCCCTCCAACTGAAGCTGGCATTTCTACGCACATTATAGAATGAAAACAATCCCAGCTCTCAAATCCAGTAACAGACATCTGTGAGCACTTAGCTCAAAGAAGTCTAGAAAAAACTAGAAATACTAGTGGTGAATTGTTATCTGCATCAGAACAAAATCAGCACAGGATGGGGAGCAATGAACACAAGAGAGCTAGGTTAAAACTGGGGGGCAAGTACTGCCCGGGCTACTGGAAGTATCTTGCTCTGGCTGATGTTTCCAGGTTGTATTCATGTGTAAAAATCCATCAAACTGCATATAAGATTCACACACCTTATCGCAAGTTATACCTGGATTTTTTTTTTAAGTGGTAAAATTTACATATACTATATACCATTCAACAGCCTGAGGGGCATAAAGCAGCATCCTATAATCAAACCCCTTAACAGATCTGTAGGAAAAAATCATGAATATTCATACCAAGTTGGATGAAAGACTAGGGATTTAAAACAAAAAGAAAAGAAAAAAAAAGAAAAATGTGGGTAGTCTAATAAGACATCAGCTGCACTCAGAACCTTGGGATTTTGAGCTTTGAATCTTGCAGATCGCTTCTCTACACCAGTATATAGTGAATCCCGTGTTTATGGAAAGGACCAGCCCCATTAGTGTTGCCAGTCCTCTTGATTTCAAAAAAGTGACTTAACAACCTGCCTCAAATCTAAGAACTTCTTCAACGTCCTTATTATTACTACAGCCCATGTTCATTCTGCTAGGCACCCAAGATCTGTCCTCAACTTTCCTTGATTAAGGCCAGAGTTCCCCATGATTTTATACCTGTCCCCAGGCACCATGGTATAATGAATAAAGAACAAATTTGCATTTGGCATAAAAATGAGGTGAAACAGTATAACACTTGCCCTCACTTATGAAGATCAAATAAACTAATTCAGGGGGCGCCTGGGTGGCTCAGCCATTAAGCATCTGCCTTCGGCTCAAGTCATGATCCCAGGGTCCTGGGATCGAGCCCCACATCGGGCTTCCTGCTCCGCGGGGAGCCTGCTTCTCCCTCTCCCACTCCCCCTGCATGTGTTCCTGCTCTCGCTATCTCTCTCTCTGTCAAAATAAATAAATAAAATCTTTTAAATCAGTCAGTCAATAAAATAAACTAATTCACATGGCAATTTTCCTCATCTATGTTCTGAAATTGAAGGTGGGACAGCTGTGATGGAAACTCACTCCATAGTCTGCTTCAGCAGACTCAGCCCAGAAAGGACATAATCAGTTCATCAAAAGACATGCCCATGTAGAGATTCTGCATAATACACAACACCAGCACTCCTGCCCTGCAGCCCACAAGGCGTGGCCTGCATCCTAACTGAACACTAGCCTTGGTTTGTCTTCCGGCAGCTCTGCGGTGACTGATGACAACAAGTACAGTCTAGTTTCCAGGGTTGCTGGATTCCCTTGAAAGCCATCCAGAAGGAAGCCACCTACGGGCCGCTTGGCGGTCTCCCGTGCTGACCTCAGCCTCTCCTCCATCACGTCTCCACCTTCAATCACTCCAATGATGGTACTTTTCTGAAGGACCTAAGGGGAGAAAGGACTAAATGCTTTTAACTGTTTCCAATAGTGGAGACCTTCATTTAAATGAACTTCACATGGAAGAGATCTTGGTGCAGCTGCTACAGTTGAAGCATGAGAGGGGGATGGGGCTCCCTCCTCCCCAAAACACACCACTTGAAAGCCACCCAAATAGGTAAGAAAAGAGAAACTGAGCAATCAGTACATGCAGTCATGTTTGAGCTTAGGTTAAATTAAACACACACTGAGCAAGTATGAGAGGGAAAGGACAAAAGTATCAGTTTTCATTCGTTTAAATGACTATCCAGGCCCACTTTAAGCTACCTCCAAGTCTCTCTGTTAGAGATAACTTTAAGAACTCTGTGGTTAGGATAACTGACAATCCATTTGGAAAAAAATAAACCTACACTGCACACCATCCTCAAAAATAAATCCCAGTGGCCCTCTAATCTAAACATACAGAAGAGTTACCCGAGTCTCAAAAAGATATATTCAAGTTTTCATAGTCTTGGAGTAAGGAAGGCCTCCCTAAGCAAGCTAAAGCTTACCAGAAAAGGCTAATGTATTTAAGTACAAAACTTCTCTAGTGAAATGGTGAAAATAGTGAAAAACTTCTCTAGTGAGACAAAGGCAAAGGAGAGCTCACTGCGCAATGAAATAGACAAATACTATAGGAAACCTCCAACAAATCTTCTATGGAAATGACAACCCCATAGAAATCTGGGCAGATATGTGAATATGAACTTCAGAAAAGTAAATGTGAATACGCTGTACACATGTGGAGAGCTAACTAAAGCTCACCAGGAAGGAAATACAAATTAGAAATAGTTAGATACCACTTTTGCCCATCACTCTGAAAAAATAGTTAAAAGACAGAAAGCAACACTGTAGAGGTAAAGTATTAGAGAAATGACACATACTCTGATAACCAGAGAGAGTAAAGATTAGTTCAGCTTCTTGGGAGAGCAAGTAGACAACACTTCTCAAAATGTCAATGCTTTGGGTGCCTGGGTGGCTCAGTTGGTTAAGCGACTGTCTTCGGCTTGGGTAATGATCCCGGGATCCTGGGATCGAGTCCCACATCAGGCTGCCCCTGCTCTGTGGGGAGCCTGCTTCTCCCTCTGCCTCTGCCTGCCACTCCCCCTGCTTGTGTGCTCGCTCTCTCTCTGTGTCAAATAAATAAATAAAATCTTTAAAAAAAAAAAAGTCAATGCTTTTATCTTTACGTCCTAAAATTCCACTTCTAAGAATCATTCCTACAAATATATTCATTCATATGCATCAAGGTATATTTACAAAATGTTTAGAATAATGAAAAACTGGAAACTTACATACATCAATAGTGTAAAGGCTTACAGGAATTATGATACATTCACAGTATGGCTTTCTACACAGGTGTTTTAAAAATAATGCAGTAGAGGGACGCCTGGGTGGCTCAGATGGTTAAGCGTCTGCCTTCGGCTCAGGTCATGATCTCGGTGTCCTGGGATCGAGTCCCGCATCGGGCTCCCTGCTCAGCAGGGAGCCTGCTTCTCCCTCTGCCTGCCACTCCCCCTGCTTGTGCTCTCTCTCTCTCTCTGACAAATAGATAAATAAAATCTTAAAAAAAAAAATGCAGTAGATATAGCAATGTATGCACTGACAGAGAGTTTTGAGATATTGCTAAACAAAACAAGCACATTTCTGAACATATGATCATACTCATGTAATGAAAACCCCATACAGTAATGCATGTATGTAAAAACTATGTGTATGCAACTAAAAAGTAAAAATGCAAATCAAGAGTGGCTCTCTGGTAGAAGAGAGGATTGGGGAGAAAGCCTGGAATGCGGTGAAGAGGGAATTTTGCTTCTCAGTTTAAGTAGGAGGGACACAATCAGAAAGAACCCTTGGGCAGCTGTGTGGAGAATGAATTAAGAGTGAGTATGGCTAAAGGATACGTAGGAGGCAAGTTTCATAATTCAGGTGAAAGACAAAGAAGACCCAGGCTAAGGCAGTGGCAGTGAGTGAAGGGGAAGGACAGGATCTGAAACTCCCATCAGAAGGTACAATCAACAGGGGCACCTGGGTGGCTCAGTCAGTTGTCAGTTAAGCGTCTGCCTTGGACTCAGATCATGATCCCGGGGTCCTGAGATCGAGCCCCACGCCGGGCTCCCGACTCAGTGGGGTTGGGCTCCCTGCTCAGCAAGGAGTCTGCTTCTCCCTCTCTCTCTGCCCCTCCCCCTGCTCATGTTCTCTCTCTCTCTCAAATAAATAAAAATCTTAAAAAAAAAAAAAAAGAAGGTACAATCAACAAACTTGACCATTTACTTGCTCACGGAGAGGATGAAAAGTCTAGGATGACTCCTGGCTCCTGTTCTAGAAGTCCAGGGAGAGACTGGGAAGAGCAAAGACAGGGAATCCTAGGAAAAGAGTGGAGAATGAGGCAAGATGATCATTCTGTTTTGTGCATTCTGAGTTTGAGGTCATCAGTCATCGAGGACACGTGTGATACCAATGTGACGACCCAGGCTGGAACAGCAACCCTGGCACACTGCTGCCACTCCCCACAGCAGACATGGGTGACAGATAGGTACTCTCTTCCTGTTGCACCCAGGCACAGCTCCAAGCACCTTGGGATCAAACCCATTTGCCATCCCTGGCCCAGGAAATATGTGGAGAAGAAAGCCAACACTAGAACTTTGGGGAGCTTCAGTATTCAAGGGCGTTCAGAATAAGAAGATCCAGTGAGTAAAAAAGGAAGAAATCACAGGAAAAGGGAAAGATGTATGCAGACATACAAAGCAGGTAGCTAAATGGGCCTGCCCCTTTACGTGACTGGCATAGCCCTAACCCCTGCCTGAGGAAAGGCCCAAGAATTTTGGCATTGGACAGGACATCCAGCCCAAAAGGGACCTCACCCGCTGTGTCAAATGGCCCTGCTACATCCAGCTGCAGTGGCAAAGGGCTTTTCTCTATAAACATCTGAAAGTACATCCTGCAATTAACCAGTTCACCCAAGACCTTGGCCTTGGACCGCCAAACAACTAATCAACCTGCTTAAGCCGGCCCACAAATACAGAGCAGAGACCAAGCAAGAGAAGAAGCCAAGATTGTTGGTCCGGGCTGAGAAGAAAGCTGCCAGCAAAGGGGATGTCCCCACTAAAATGCCGCCTGTCCTTCCAGCTGGGGTTAATAGTCACCACATTGGTGGAAAATAAGAAGGCTCAGCTGGTAGTGACTGCACATGACGTGGATCCCATTCAGCTGGTTGTGTTCCTGCCTGTCCTATGTCATAAGATGGGGGTTCCCTCCTGCATTATCAAGGGGAAGGCCAGGCTGGAGCATCTGGTCCACAGGAAGACCTGCACCACTGTTGCCCTCACACAGGTTAACTTGGAAGATAAAGGAGCTCGGGCTAAGCTGCTGGAAGCTATCAGAACCAATTACAGTGACAGATATGATGAGATCTGCCATCACTGGGGAGGCAATGTCCTGGGTCCAAAGTCGGTGGTTCACATGGCCAAGCTGAGAAAGGCAGAGGCTAAAGAACTGGCCACCAAACTGGGCTAAGTGTGCACCATCGAATTTTCTGTACGTAAAAGTAATAAAAAGTTCTCTTTCAAAAAAAAAAAATCTAGGACACATGTAAGTGTAAAAGAGGGCGCTATTAATAATCATGTCAAGAAAACAGCATGATCATGGGATAGAAAGAGGGACCACCACACAGCAATAATGTGAAATGATAAAGCTGACTAGCATGGAAGAGGGACTTGAGGCTCATCCGGCTGTTCTAATAATCATGCTGTCACACTCCCTGTCCTCCTTTCTACTCATGTAAACATTATTACTCACCCTACAGGGATAATGATTGACTCAAAACAATTGCTAGTGAGCAACACTAACAATTAGGACCCACGGCAATGTCCCCACGCTGAACTCTTACTGCGGATACGAGAGTTCTATTCAGAATGACAACTAAGTTTCCTCCAATCATTTTATGTATACTAACTTTATCAGCCAATTATATTTTTTATTGGTACACTCAAGATAACAATGTTCCTCAACCTCAGTGCACTTTGCCACAGTGGGACCTGATCATATTGCTCAGGATTACTCCACATAAGTGATCTGAACACTGAATTCTCCCCTCCGGTCACACCTTCTCTTCTCTCACCAGCTCTGTTCTCTCGTGACTACATCCTTTCCCAGCTTCATTCACTCTGCTACCAGGATATCTGATCTACCACCACAGCTTCATCCTCCCCAGCCTGTCAATACCAGCCACCATCAGCAAACATTTACTGAGGGCTCACTTATGTCAGGCATTCTGCTACATGATGGATACAAAAAGGACACTCAAAAACTGAGTTTAAGGAGGTCACAATCTAATAAAGATAAACGCCATTAAGAAATCATTGCACTATGAGTATATAGCTCCAGTCAGAGCTATAATATAGCCACATACAAATGAAACGGGTGGCAAAGGATGAATAGAACTTCCTGGAAGGGTCAGGGACAGTTCCCTAGAACGATGAATGAAATGGAATGAGCTGGGTCTGGAAACAAGAGAAGCAATATGGCTAGAGATCAGAAAAAAAAAAAAAAAACAGTCCAGAAGGAAGTCCGTGTACAGCCTCAGCAAAATGAAACAGGGAAATGCCTCAGGGAACTGTGGGTGACTCAGAAGGGCCTCAAACACAGGAGAAAGCGGTCGGCACTGAGCTGGAGTAGGCAGAGGTCAGGTCACAGCAGCCTGTCCATGTCACATAAGAGTTGACACAGAGAGTCATTAAATTCTCTTAGGGAAATGGATATGGGCGATTTGTGTCTTATGAAGATCTCTCAGATAGCTGGGCTGAAGATGGATTGGATGGAAATGAGAAGAGACAGAGTAATTAAAAGGTAATGTCTACATAAGAGATGATGAGGTTATTGTGCCTCAAGGTGGTGCTAAGAAAGACGGGGAGGTGGGGGTAGATCCTAGATATATTCAGGGAGATGGAATCAAGAAGGAGCAAACAATTGGATATTAAATTGGGTATTAAAAGGAGCCTTGAATGTGGAATTTAAGAAACCAAACAAATGAACATAGGGGAAGAGAGGGAAAAATAAAATAAGACGAAATCAGGGGGCGCCTGGGTGGCTCAGTCGTTAAGCGTCTACCTTCGGCTCAGGTCATGATCCCAGGGTCCTGGGATCGAGCACCGCATTGGGCTCCCTGCTCGGCAGGAGGCCTGCTTCTCCCTCTCCCACTCCCCCTGCTTGTGTTCCTGCTCTCACTGTCTCTCTCTCTTTGTCAAATAAATAAATAAAATCTTTAAAAAAAAAAAAAGACGAAATCAGGAAGGGAGACAAAACATATGGGACTCTTAACTCTAGGAAACAAACTGAGGGTTGCTGGAGGGGAGGTAGGCAGGGGGCTGGGGTAACTGGGTGATGGGCATCACGGAGGGCATGTAATGTAACGAGCACTGGGTGTTATATGCAACTGATGAATCGCTAAACTCTACCTCTGAAACTAATAATACACTATATGTTAATTAATTGATTTTAAATAAAACTTTTTTAAAAAGGAGTCTTGAAAGACTCAAATTTCTGGGCTGAGGAACTTAGCCGCTATGAACTAAGACAGAGAGGAAAAGAAAGGTTTGAGGAGATCAGATACTGAGTTTGGTTTCCTCTGAGTTTGAGGTGCATGTGAGGGATACTCTAGTAGAACCCAGCTGCAGTCCACTTTATGTCATTCTGAAGCTAAGCAGAGAGAGCTTGGTTATCCACGCAATTTGCGAATTATTCAGCAATTAAAACCAAGGGGAGGTTGCCCAGGGAAAACACCCAGAGTGGGGAGAAAAGAGAGCCTAAGGCAGAATTCTGGAGAGTTAGAACACGTATGGCTCAGGACAAGAAAACAGGAGAGTAACAGAGACCAGGAAGTGAGAAGCAGGGAAGCAGGAGGAGGAGCAGAGAATGGCAGTAAGCCAGAGTTTCAAACAGCAAGGAGTGGTGGGTGCTGCAGACTTACCTCTGACTCTTCCTGTAGCCGTAGACAATTATCCAGGAATAGAAGCGATCGATCAACAGACTTCCTGGCTCTTTTTATGGAAGTTGCTTCCTCGCAAGATGCCTCTCCATCTGACAGACACTGGAACCAGTCTGGCTGAAGGGTCTGCTGAATTGCCATGAACTTGGAAGCAGTCATTTCCACTCGTCCCCCAAGACCCCACACGGACACAGACTGCCATGGAACAAAATGATGAGGAATCAGCAAGAGTGAAATGCAAATCAAAAGGAAATAATAAAATGATAAAGCAATACTGAATTTAATCCTTCCTTACAAATAGAGAGATGGTGGCATTCACTATCTTAGGCGTGGGGGGTAGAAGCTTCTTGTACTATATTCCAATTCTCCGAGCACCTTATAGCTCATAGAGAATCCTTCAGTGACCACACAGCCAGCTTCTGAGCTAGCCCCAAGAATTCTTTGGGATACTTTCCCAGCCCAGTCTTCCATTCTCCGAGACCGCACCCCATGCATGCTGTCTCTAAACACACCACAGACTTTGATTGTTCTCTGTCTTTGATCACATTGTTCCTTTTGGCTGAAATGCCCTCCCCCTACTTCTCTGCCTGGTAAAATACTATGCATCCTTCAAGAAAGGTCCAAATATCATCTACTCTATTGTGCCCCCCAAACCTATCTGGGCATAATCCATCACTCACTCTTCTAAGCTCTTGCAGCAATCTGTACTTATTTCTTTTATAGAAACGATAGTACTGAGTATCCCAATTCATGTCTGTGCCCCAAAAGCCTAGTCTAGGGCCTCACACATTATTGAAGGTTAGTAAGTTCTTACTGGATTGAGTTAGATACAGATACAAAGAAGTCAGAATGTATGTAAACATCTCTATAGAATGTTCTTTCTTTGGTTACTCCTTCCCCTATAGTATCTTTCTTCTTAGAAGAGACTGACAAGGACATGAATGGGGACACCACATAGAGTCTTTTTATTCTGGCCTAAGGCTTAAGAACACTGTTTAAATGAATCCTCTCTCCCTTACAAATGGGGTAGATAACTGAGGTAAAAATACCCTCTTTTGGATTAAAATTACAAAATAAAAAGAAGTTTAAAGCAGAAGATTCACTTAAAATACTTTTCTTAGGTAAGATTAATAGATACTGTTGACATCGATAAAGCGGGTGCAGGAAAAGTAGCTGCATTCGTAAAGCACCAGCATATATGGAGGGCTTGCCAGAATGTAGTCCGCAGGTACAAGACCAATGCGCCATGTCTCAGGTGGGGACTTTTAATGAAGTCCTTTTGATACTGTTCTTCACTAGCTAAAATCTCTGGCTGTGCACCCAGCTTTTTCAAATGCTGTTCTAAAAGCAAGCAGTATTACACGGAGATTCTACTATATATAGTTATACATGTGATAACACTCATCAGCAACTTTCCTAGCGCTTCCTGAGGTTGTTAAAACTGCAAATAAAGCATGGCACAAAAAAACTATTGCTTTCTACCATCATAGCAATTTCTTTTTTTGCTATGTACTTGACCCTCCTTCATCCCCAAATTTTTTTGCAACAATGAAAATGCTGAGGATATATTCCTTACCCCGTCTGCAGGCAGCCCTACTCTAATTCCTATAAACCACTCATCCCACTATATTCATCGAAATAAGGAGAAGGTATAAAGGGGTCAGGAATGGGCTAGCATCCCAGGCAGTGGGATCTAGCACTGGAAAGCTACAACAGGCTGACTTTCTGGGACGAAGCTGCAGCCTTGGAGGCCTTTCTGAGAACACACCTTGTTTGTTACATAACCGGCTGGGCAGGGGCTCACTGGATCATGCAGGGAACAGTACAAGAGTGATTCTGGCATGCCTGTATAAACATAAAAAAGAACTCTTGCAAACACTTACATCAACAATTACACTGTGTTGTAACAGAGAGCAGCTTCATATGTGTACTACTGGATAAAGTAAGTATCGCTAGACGTAGTAAACTGTTCATACCCGATCTTAGAATTATAAGAGGCCTGTCAACATGAATGAAAAGATTACCTTTAAAACCTACTCATCTGAAAAAAGAATTAAAGGTTCGTGTCTAATGACTGAGTTGCTACAAAGGAAAAGTGTTTCTTAAAGTATGAAATACAATAAAAGTGTTTAGTGGCATGTTATGTTGACCCTACTTGATTTGTTTTGAAGAAAAATATAATATCTAGTATGTTCATTTTAGGTACCATCCAAAGGAACAAGCTACTGGAAAGACAAAATAATATGGTCAAAAGCTAATCTGATTAATAATAAAGCTATCCCACATCATGGGACCCCGGGACAGAATTACAGGGAAGCTATAGCATACTGAATAAAAATGGATCGAATTCTCAGTAAGTTTCATTGACTCAAGAAGAAATTTCTTGGGTTCTTTAGTCAAAAATATAGTCATATAAAAAAATTTTTTTAAAGTGCTCACTAAACCATATGTGCTTAAATTTCCTATGCTACCTTATATTTTCATTAAAAAAAAAAAAAGGATTTCACTGAAAAAAGACCCAGAAGCAAGCAAAAAACAAAAAACAACTCTGCAGTTCTCCACCTATTTTTCCACAATTTCAATTATTATAGTTATCTCTAGAAAGCTTTTTAAGCTATTTTCACTTAATTATATGCTTGTATACTTTAAAACTGGTTTTAAAATTGGATTCAGTCCAAGGAAAACATTACATAAATCCTTCTACTTGAAAACAGGGCCTTGTGACCAACAAGTCGTTATGCAATTTCCCAGAGAAGCAGAGGACTGAATAACCAGTGGAAACAGAATTTTCATTCACTTAAGTGAGTCTTAGATATTGGGAGAAAGCTCAGGAGAAAGTGGTCTACAGAAGAATGAATTCTCTAGCTGCCACTGCGAAACTTTTCCTATAATCAAATGGACACATGCATCTGTATATAAAATCCTATTTCTGGAACAAAAGATAATATTAACATACCAGAATACAGCTATAGATAAACACTTCATCTTCTGCTTCATCTTACGTTTTAGGCTCAAACACGGCTAGACTGCTTTGCATCTTAGGTATGCCCCATGCAGTTTCTTACCTCTGGGTCTTTGCTCTGTGCCTGGGATGTCTGCCCACACCTGTCTGCCACCACCACTGCACCCACCTCCCGACCTGGCTAAGTCTTACTTTTCCTTGACTCAGATAAGTTACCCCTTCTTCCTCCCTCTCTCAAGAATCCTTTCCTTAGTCTGACCTCCGTCCACATGAACCCTACAGCAAGTTATGTGCTCCTCCCTCTGGGCTCTCCTGGTACATGTACATATTCCTAATCCTGCAAATGCGGTCACTGCATCCTACTAGAATTACCTATTTATCTTTATTTCAGACAGGCTCTGAGTTCCACTGCGGAAGCAACTGTTCCTACTCATCTCTGAATCCCCAATGCGTAGTTCTTAGATGCCCAATAAATGCTCATTAAATTAATGAATAAGTACATGTATGAATGAAAGATCAATCAACAGCGCCTCCAAACTTCAAATTAATATGTCATGAGGCAAACACAAATAACTTGATTTTTACCTATAAACTTTCCAATTCCTTCCTTATAGTCCGCCAAGATTTCATGGTGTTCTGCCCTGTAAGCAAAACAGAAAAATACATAATAATGAATCATTCTACAGACACTCTGTGCAACAACTGAAATCCACTTCCCTGCACCCATCAAGCTATGTGAGAGGAGGAGGAGTAGTAGTAGTAGTCTTGAACAAAAAAGGATGCCATATTCAAGAGTCCCAATTCATTAGGCTGTGTTTATTAGCCAGAGTACAGATCTTCAACTTACAAGTAGTGAGAACAGAAACTGGCAAAGATCAACTGCTTCCAAATGCCCAGATTTTCTTCCTCCCCTCTCCCCTTTAAAATCACTATTATTAACACAATATTGCAGTTATTTCATCATACAGCAGGTTCTTCAATTAAGCATAAAGTCAGTATGTACATTACATAAAATGATCTAAATCCATTAGTTTTGTTTTCATAATGTAGTACTAGCAAGTACATGTGCAGATACAGGGAAACATTTGAGGCTGGTGCATGAAGACAGCCTCTAGAGACCAAGTTTAGTTCTCACAGAGCATTCCCTGCCCTGTGCCCTGTCACCTCTGGGAGGCAATGAGGACCACCATACTGGCACAGTTGGGCCAGAGGAATAGTGAAGCAGCTCTGACATACAGGTCCGGCCTATGGCTTCCAGATTAGGGCCAGATGACGTATTAACACTTGACATCTGATTTCATTCTAAAAATCTATAAATTTTGTGCATATGATCAAAAAAGTCTTTCTCTTTACTGCACCTTATTAAGGTATCTGAGCTGCTGCCAGAGTTGATACTTAAGTGATCGGGTCTAACACTTACAACGAGGACAGCGTAAGCTGAGCCATGGCAGGAAGCCTGTGGATAGTATGCAGTGTCTGATGGGTCAGGTGTGGGGCAGAGCCGGTCTTGGTGTATAGAAGGCAGGCTGGAATGTCCATGGTGTGGTCCCCTGTTTTGCCCAGGTTTTTTATTTTTCCTAGGCGACAGCCATCAACTACCTTGGTAAGACTCAGCTTCATCCTAAGAGATTCCTCTACCTAATTAAGAAAAGAAGAGTAAATTCAGGAGTTCCATGACATCTAAAGGCTAAGCATTTTACAAAATAACCTACACGATGATGAATGACAGCATGTTTATTACTACTTCCAGTATACAATTGTTTTAGATATCAGGGAAGATATCTTTCCCCAAAGACCCAGAGCAAAATGATGACATCAACCACATTTAAATTCGGTCATGGAATTTTTGTCTACAATGATGAAAATCAAACAAATGGAAGGACAGGAATAAGGACTAATCACAGAAAGAGTGTGCATTCTTTTGCCAAAGGCTAGCTTTCAGCCCTGAAAATGTATATAGAAGAAGGCCACACTGCTTAGGCTATACTGATTACTGATTTGATCCTTTTTTTCCTTTCTTCAATTTGAGAGAATGCTAGGCAACATAGCAATTTCTCCTAATATGTTAAGTAAAGAAAGCAGGTTCCAAAACAGCATCCTGGTGTTTATTGAACTATATGTAACAATATGCATCAAAAGATAGAGATTATCTCTGAGAGGTAAGATTATTTTCCAATTTGTTCTTATATGGTGTCCAAATAGAAGTGAGAAACCACATGGAGCATACATGCAATTCATAAGCAATTCAGCTTTACTTTTATCAGGGATCTTGGCGACTAGTCCCTGGTCCTTTTGTGTAGCATGCCCTGGATCTTGTCTATACACCTAGCACAGATCCACCCTCAGGGTCAGGCTCAAACAAACCAATCTCAAAGACTGAACAACAAAATAAGAATGCACATTCTTTAATCTGAGAACCAAAAAAGGAAAGAGGACCAGTTCCTGTATTCATGCCCTATGGGGTACCACACAGGAATCCAAATGCCACACGAGCATATTATCTGGAGTAGGAAGGGTAAGTAATGATTTACATATCTATGTAAAGATAACTGAAAGGAAACCCACTGGTCCTCAGATTCCCCAAGGTTAGACACAGGGACTGTCCAAGAGGGAAGCAGCGGGGTGCCTGGGTGGCTCAGTCGCTGAGCATCTGCCTTCGGCTCGGGTCATTTCAGGGTCCTGGGATGGAGCCCCACGTCGGGCTCCCTGCTCAGGGGGAAGCCTGCTTCTCCCTCTCCCCCTCCCCCTGCTTGTGTTCCCTCTCTCGCTGTGTCTCTCTCTCTGTCAAATAAATAAATAAAAATCTTTAAAAAAAAAAAAAAGAGAGAAGCAGCAACTAGATCCGGAAGCCCAGACTCTTGGCTTCCAACACTTAGCTTTCTCTTAGGGACCTCTTAGACCTATCCTTGCGGAAGGAAACAATGAACATGTTCTAGGAGTCCCCATCTTCTAACAGAAGAGTTTCAATTGTGATTAATAATCCGCTCAATTCTGAAAGCATTTTCTCTTATCTCCCTTTCCCACTGTTCCCTCAATTGAAGAAACAGATTTCTTCATTCTTAACGCAAGGTCTGTCATTAGGTCCTTGGGAGCTCTAGAGGACACTGGCCATGTTCTTGGATGCAGAGATGGGTTCTCCTGTGATACAATGCACAAAAGTTTAATCCCCATATTTTTAAAGATAAAATTCAAAATCCTCAGCTTCATATACTGAACCCACTAGGTCAGCTAGAGAGGAGTATCCACTTGGCTCTCTCCATAGTGCAGGACTTTGATGCTATGTACTCACACCTGCTGTTTGGGGCTTCTTAAAAGTCCCATCCTAATGATGATAAATCAACATGTCACCAAACAAAAAAGCAAACAAGGAAAAGTGACGGCTGCATTTAAGAAAAAGTATTTTTTATTTATTTGACAGAGAGAGACACAGCGAGAGAGGGAACACAAGCAGGGGGAGTGGGAGAGGGAGAAGCAGGCTTCCCGCCGAGCAGGGAGTCTGATGCGGGGCTCGATCCCAGGACCCTGGAATCATGACCTGAGCTGAAGGCTGACGTTTAACCTACTGAGCCACCCAGGTGCCCCAAGAGAAAGTATTGTACTAGATAAATTGCTATTGTCAGTGATTCTCTGTAACATGAGAATGAATACAAATATTAGAGGGCATTAGAAAATGCCCTTCAGCTGGAAATCAACATTAAAAAAAAAAAAATCCAACTTTGCCCAGAGCTAGAAGAACTGCACTTTCCTTTCCCCATTCACTGTTCAGTTTATGATAATTTTTATTAGTGCACCCATTTTCTAAGGGCTCAAATACAAGTTTTTATCACGGAGTAATGTAAACATAAATACGCACATACACATATTCATGTACATGTTTTTTTAAAACATGCTTTGGGGGGTGCCTGAGTGGCTCAGTCATTAAGAGGCTTCTCCCTCTCCTGCTCCCCCTGTTTGTGTTCCCTCTCCCGATGTCTCTGTCAAATAAATAAATAAAATCTTAAAAAAAAAAAAATGCTGGGGCGCCTGGGTGGCTCAGTCGTTGAGCGTCTGCCTTCGGCTCGGGTCATGATCTCAGGGTCCTGGGATCGAGCCCCGCATCGGGCTCCCTGCTCCGCGGGAGGCCTGCTTCTCCCTCTCCCCCCTGCTTGTGTTCCCTCTCTCGCTGTCTCTCTCTCTCTCTCTCTCAAATAAATAAATGAAATCTTTAAAAAAAAAATGCTTTGGGAGGGATATAATCTAAACCAAGCAAATTTCTCAAGAAACAAACCAATAGTCTCCAAAATACCAACTGACTTTTATTTGCCTTCATCATCACCCTCTCCCCTGTGGGTCACTCACTGAAGGTATCTTCTAAGATTTGTGGTGTTATGCTTTTCTAAATATACATTCACACTTCACTTTTACAAAGGGAGTTCCGAGGAAAGTCTTAAGGAAAAACCATTAACAAAAGCCACCTGGAAATGGTTCATGGAAAAAAACTTTATCACTTTAAGGACAAGTGATAAGCTGGCAATGGATCTATGCCTTCACGAGGGCTAACAGAGATTCCCTGCACCTCTGGTAGCATTGTACTGACATGTCCTAACAGTTCCAGTGCCACACATGCCCCACCCCGCCTCCCCAGCATTCCCTCAGAAGAAGGGATTTCTAAATGTTTTTTAGATGAATTCTCTACTGACTGTCATGATTGTGATATGCTAAGGGAAAAGAGTAAGCTTAGGTGAGCACATTTTTTTTGTGAAAGAAAAACTGTATACATATTTATAAACACATATGTACACATACATGCTACAATGTTTATATATGCATAGAAAAAAGTCTGAAGGACTTCTAAACAATATGGTGCACTGAGTTGACTCAGAAAGACACAGAAATGATGGATTTTAAATTCTAGAAAACAATAACAGAAGATGAGACAGCCTATTCAGAGGTAGAGTATTCTAAAATCCTTATACTATTTGGGAGGGGGAGAGAGATAATGAATCATGTCAAACTGTTAAGCATGTGTGCCAAAATTTTTAAAGTAACCATTAAAAGATTAATGATGGAATGCATAATTTCTGAAACCATTGGTGAGGGATGGGGGATGATAAAAGAAAAACTGGTTAATACAATAAAAGGCAAGAAAGAGGAAAAGAGACCAAAAAGCACATCAAATATAGAAAATACAAAATAAGATGGTAGAAGTAAACCTAAATATGTCAGTGATCACGATATAAGTTAACAATTTCACATAATGACAATAGTAGCAGCTAACATTTATTGGGCATTTACTGTCTTTTCCATATTAACCCTGCTAAAATGTATCATCATATCGACCTTGTAAGACAGATGCTATTAAGTGCATTTTACATGAGAAAACTGAGGGTAATAGAGTCACCATCTGGGAAGTGGCAGAGCCAGGACTTAAATCATGGAAGTCTGGCTTTAGAGGTTGTACTCTAATAGGCTGATAGCCTATTAGAAGTCTCATCTTGTCCATACACATATGCAATGTTTATATTAATTGTAATGTTAAGATACAATTTTATAGTCATATTTTCCATTTTGCTATAGTGTTCTTGTTATTTTCTTTGTTTTCCCTTACCTTTCTTCTCTGCCTCTATCCATCCTCCCAGCCTCTACAACGTTTCTCCATACTCATACAAACATTTAAACATACTCGTGTATGGGAGGGGATTTTTTTTTTTTTAATGGAAACATACCACACTGTATGCACTTCTTTGCAATTTGCTTTTTTCCCAGGAGGAAATGGATATCTTTCCTGGAGAAGAGACACAGAACTAATTTATCCTTTTAAAATAACTACTTCATGATATTACATAAATTGGATGTGACACAATTTATTCAACCATCATCACCCTTCTGATAGACACTCAAGTTACAGAGCAGGTCCTATGATCTCTGCAATAGTACGAGGACACAACTTCCCTGATCTCATTTTCACCAATCTCAAGTCTAGTATAGTTTGTTTCCTGGCAAAGCTCTATGTTTACATTGATTTTTCTTCGTTACAATATTCCAGTGATTTAGGTTTGCCGATGAGTAAATCCGGGGTTCGCGTTATTAAAGTTTCCTCAGGTCATACAGCCACAAAGCTGGGTTCAAAGCTCCCACGTAAACCACTAACCTCTCCTTACAAATCCATGTATCCTAGGAAGTACTGCCTCCTGGAACATCTAAGTTCAGTCAATAGGATGGATTTTTCTTTACTCCATGGGCCCCCTCCACTGGCCCCAGACCTCGCGAAGCCCTTAGCTCAAGGATTCGAGATCGTCCAACCCTCCTAAGTATCATACCTGTGCAGTCCAGAAAACACTTCCGGCTGAGAGTCTGATTCTTGAGCAGAGGCCGGTGGAAAGGAGGCCCTTTTCTCTCTGAGATGCAGTGAAGCTTACACGATTTGGGAGAATCTGGACCTAGAGAAGCCAAGATCCACCAGGAGAGCCAGAAAAGGGAAGGAGAAACATGTCAGGGGTACAACTACAGTTACTGCAACACAACGAGTACGCGTCTGAGAGCGACGCGACTCATCCACCCGTGGTAGCCCCCATTCTAACAGGAAAAGGGGGCACTTACCTGCACACCTCCCACCTTGTTTTGGCCTTGAGACCCCTCAAACTCCTCGTATTTCGCTACCACGTGTCCGGCTAGCAGAATTCTCGGCCCCCTAAACCACCGCCTCCGCTGCAGAGCCAATCAGGGAGCACTGCGTCATCCCCGGGCGCCAGGAAAAGGCAAAGGTAATATCAAAAGCGAGCTCTGGCGACTGCGAGGCCGCGGGACCGCTGCCGTTGCCATGGGTTACTGAGCTAACCCGTTCCGCCTGCGCAAAGCCTCCTGGGAGTGGTGGTTCGGCGGCGCCCCACACCTGCCTTCTTTGAGGCCGGAGGAACTACAACTCCCAGGACGACCCGGAAGCAGCCTAGGCAACGGAGCGGTAGTTCCAGCATTGCGGTGGTCCGGGCCCGAACCTGGAAAATGCTGCTGGCGCCCCAGGAAAGGTCCTCCTCTAGGAAGAGGACGGGGCCGAATCGCTGGAAACAATTTACAAGGAAGCCGAGTCCTAAGGTGATCCATCCCAATCGGGAGCTCTGGGGGGGCGGGGACCGGCCCCGAGGCAACCGGCTGGGCTGCGCTACCTCCCTCTTCCCCCAGGGGCGTCCTTAGCTGGCTGCCCCTTGCCTTGACTGCCCTGGAGCCAGCACCGTCCTGGTGAAGGGGGCCTACGAACTTTGGGGTCTGGATAACTTACGGCTTTGTTGGGCAGTAGCGTGAAAGACCTATTTCCATTTTATTAAACAGGAGAGGTCTGGTAGTGCCCATCCCGGTGAAGAGAATTCTCGAACTCCCTCGCCTCTCATTCCCACCCCCGCAATTTTAGGGAATTTCTCGCACATTTCTTTCTTCCCTTCCCATTTCCTTCCCCTTCTCTTCCTTTCCTAATTTTAGATCGTTATTGGAGAGGGAACACCTTCATGTTAAGTACTCTGCCTCATATTCCTCCCCTTCTAATTTTTCATAAAGTATCAAAAATGAACTCAGGAATCAAGTGGATATTGGACATATCAATACTTGATTCACTTGAATTTTTTTGAATTCAACCAACATTTCCTTTTTATATCTGTTACCTCCTTTGATGCCTTAGCATCCAAAGACATGGAAAACTGGTAAGCCTATTTTAAACTTGAAACATACATAAATGTCATGTGCAAAGTCACAGTCACACGGTGTGTGCTTTCCATAGACTACCTTTTTAACAGTCACAAAAATAACTGCTTTAAATGTAAGTGAGAGTACCAAAATGGAGTGGTTTCTCAGCTTCCAGCTCCAGAGCACTTTCACCAGCTGTTTTCACCCTTAAGTTATACTTTCTTAAAAAAAAAAAAAAAAATCTCTAGACAAGTGGCATTTTTAGGGCTCTAGGCAATCGTGCTTGCAGTTTATTCTAAATATACCTATTAAATAATGCCCTGGACATATTCCACTTGGTGAATATCTTGGTCCAGATACCAGAGGGTGTAGATAGGAGCACTAGAGAGAGTTGGAAACAGAGTCAGCTCCTATTGTAATGTGCTAGTTCCACAATAGATTGGATCCCAAATAGGTTATGGGTATAGATTTGATGATGAAATGTAAAAATTTGGGACAGTTTCTTAAGACTCCAAAAGGAAAGATTTTTGCTGCTAGTGCTCCTTGTTACTGCCTAGAGGGTAAAAAAGAAAAAGCACAAGAGCTTCTTGAAGTTTAGTTGTGTTTTAATAGGATCAGCTCTTTGCTGCAGTGACAAAATTATTCAGCAGTACAGCTACATTAATTAGTTATCTTAAGGTGCTTTGAAGGTGAAGTGTTACGTAAGTGAAAGAGTATTATACCTTTCCTTCCTCCATGTGACTGTATGCTGGTTTAGATATTCCCTTCTTTATTTAAAGACCCACCTGAATTATTAGCAAAGCAAATACCTCTATTTGTTAAGTGACTGTTAGAGGGAATCCCACAAGCTTCTAAGAGTTACAGAGAGTGAAGAAAGGAGGTATCCTACTGGTTTGATTTCTAATTTCAGATTAATATCTGACTGACCTGGGTAAAAATATATGTGATCTTTACTTCATTTTCTGCTTTGTAAGACAGAAGATTATCCCCCACTACATCCTCCCACCACCAGCACCCCTCCCCCAGTTATTACTGGACCAAACAATATTCCTGCTATAGGTAAGATAGGAAAGCCCCTTGCTACAGGTTGTTCTTGAAAAGAGGGACCCGACGAAAGGGGCATAGCCTTCTCCAAGCAGATTTGCTTCCGTGACATTTGAATAATCTGGCTCATTAATCAGTGCTTGTTTGGTTTTTTATAAAGATTATATCTAGCATTCCTCTATTTTGGCTCTTGGAGAGCTTTATTTTTTTTAAGATATTATTTATTTATTAGAGAGAGAGAGTACGGGAGGAGGAGCAGAGGGAGAGAGACAAGCAGACTGCATGCTGAGTGCAGAGACAGACGCAGGGCTCGATCCCAGGACCCTGAGATCATGACCCAAGCCGAAATCAAGAGTCAGCCGCTTTAACTGACTGAGCTCCAGGTGTCCCTCTGGAGAGCTTTAAAAAAAAAAATAATTCTGACATCTGGGCCCTATTCCAGACCAATTAAATTAGAATCTCCAGGTGGGCTTAGGCAGGAGATAAAAACAGAAGAGATCCCAGAGAAGGCTTCATGTTTCTTCCTCTGACCATCATTCTGTGTCCTTGCTGAACTTGCTGACGAAATGGCTTGGGGAAGGAAAAAGGACACTTTTCCATATGCTTTAGTCAGAAGGATAGATTAAAATGGCAAAGTTGAAAAAAAAACGGCAAAGTTGATAAAGTTATTGCTGTGTATTAATATTCTCTATATATTATCTACAGCCTGCCTTTGACCCTGACAATGTGGAACACTGGATTAAGGTAAGGATATTGCACAGTTAAGATAGAGAGTTAAGAGTCAGACATAATCTGATGGGAAGGAATACTGATAGACCTCCATTTTGCACGTTTTGCTATTTTTCTCATGTGACTGTGTTGCTTTAGTTTTATATTCCTTAGTATTTTTTTTCATTCTGTTGCTTTTCATGAAAATATGAATGACAAGAAAATGGGTATAGACATGCTCTTTTTTTTTTTTTTTAAGATTTTATTTATTTATTTGAGAGAGAGAGACAGAGCACAAGCAGGGGGAAGGCAGAGGGAGAGGGAGAAGCAGACTCCCTACTGAGCAGGGAGTCGACATGGGGCTTGATCCTGATCCTGGGACTCTGTGATCATGACCTGAGCCGAAGGCAGACGCTTAACTGACTGAGCCACCCAGGTGCCCCTAGACATGCTCTTTCAAATGCTGTGAGGATCCAATGAAGAGGACTAAAGGAGCAGGGGAGGAGAAGCTGTAAAAGAGGATGTAGTAGCCTTCCTCAGATACTGGAAAGACTGTACTGTAGTTACATTGATCTATGGGACCAGTGCATTAGGTGAAAGCTGTGCATGCATGGTAAGAATTTTCTAATACCTGGAGGGATCCAAAAATGGAGCGGCATTCTCATAAAGAGGTCAAAAACTAATGATGTAATGTATGGTGATTAACATAACATAATTTAAAAAGATGTATTTTCTATCAATAGAAGTGTTCAAGTGGATTCTAAATGGCCACTTAATGTTAGGACTAATGAAGACTATGTTTGAGCATTCCGTGAGGGGGGGGATTGAATTACATAACTTTCTGAGCTCTTTTCCAGGCCTGAGATATGTGTTTTTGAGTCCAAGTACCATTTAAGTTGAAAGTACTATTAAACTACTTCAGGTGCATGCCTCTGAGTGTCAGTTTGGCAACTTGCCATACTCAATTCATTTGTGCAGCATATGTTTCAAAATCATGCGGCATTTTCCTGGGAAAATATCATTCTGCCTGGTAGTATTTTGAAGAGCTATTACTTATCAAAATTGACAGGCATTATAAGTCCAGATGGAACCCAGGCCAGATGTAATCACTGTTAACTATTTATTTATCCAGCCAGTATTTATTAAGTGCCTTCTAAGTAGTAGTCCACTCTATTGAACACTGAAGATAAAACCGAGCTCTGGGCAGGTATAATCTATAATCCCTGCCTTCCTAGAGTTTATAGTCCAGTGGAGATTAAACTTACTTAAAACCAGTGGGAGAATTAAAGATGTAATAGAAGCAGGTGGGGGGGACGCTAATCTAGACAGGCCAGAGAAGGCTTCCTGGTTCCTGCAGAAGGTCTGACTTAGAAGACCACTAAAACATCTGCCCTTGTGGAGGCCGGCCTCTGGGAAGCCCACTCCTCAGCCTCCTACTAAGCCTAGTTTCCATGTCCGTGCTGAGTGTCCCAGTGCCAAGCCCCTGCAGGGCTCAGTTGCACATTGAGTTACTGTCTCCTCCAGAGGGAAAGATTTAAGTAAAAGAGAAGGATAAAATTCTGCTCTGACTTTATGCACTTGTCAGACAGCTTGACCGGTTAGATTTTTATCATTCCTTTTATCATTCCTCTAAAATTTCCACAATAGCTCTGTTTCCATTATGCCCTCAAATCTCCCATCTCAAAAAAAAAAAAAAAAAAAAAATCATTAAGTCCTTACTTGACCTGGCCGTCCATTCTGATTATGGTACAACATCTTTTTCTTATCCAAGTCTTTGAGTATATAGCCTAGACTCCTTGCCCTTGCATTTTTATTATCCTCTGCTGTCTACAGTAATTTCCTCCTGTTTCTGTTTCTCACCACTCCCCAGAAATGGTTGTCCTAAATGACTTCCTGACCAAATCCAGTGTTCTCTTCTTCATCCTCAAACTTTGTAAGGTTCGTTTGATCCAATTATCACTTTTTTTATTCTAGAAATTTTCTCCTTCGTTATCTTTTTATAACCCTGTTTTCTCTTCTCCTACTACTTTTCTGTTCACTCCTGTCTTCTTTTCTGATTTTGTTCCCTAATGTTTCCCAACTCTGGGTGTATCCTAAATAGTTAGGACTTCTGAACCTAAGACTTCCAAATCCCCTTGAGTGCACCACTCTCTCAAAATCAGCTTAGACCTTGTTACATGAAAGAAGGGGGAGAATATGGAAAGAGTGTGAAGCATGGTGAAGATCAAGAAAGGGCTTTCTTCAGAACAAAAGAGATCACCGGGGCAGCAATGGGGACTTGGCTGAAGCAGGTAACCAAAGTCTTAATGTGGTACCCAAAATTGGTAGATCAGATTGACCCGGCCTTGAAAGTTTTCATTGGAGAGGTAAAGATACAAGTGATCTGAGGCTTATGTAAGAGAGTATCTGAATATCCATGCAGAGTAGGAAGGAGGGGACCCTTTAAAGATTTTACTTATTTATTTGAGAGAGAGAGAATGAGAGAGCATGAGGGGGGCAGTGTCAGAGGGAGAAGCAGACTCCCCGCCGAGCAGGGAGCCTGATGTGGGACTCGATTCCAGGACTCCAGGATCATGACCTGAGCCAAAGGCAGTCGCTTAACCACCTGAGCCACCCAGGCGCCCAGGAGGGGACCCTTTAAAGAACTCCTAGGTTGGGAAGAGGAGGCCTATAGTGACGAAGGACATGGTTAGGTGCAACACCAATGTAGCGGAGGAGCAAAACAGGGAGATGGACAGGAGGCTTAAACAACTTACTTAAAACCAGTGGGAGAATTAAAGATGTAATAGAAGCAGGTGGTGGGGACACTAATCTAGACGAAGGACATGGTTAGGTGCAACACCAATGTAGCGGAGGAGGGGGAGCAAAACAGGGAGATGGACAGGAGGCTGATGTTGGGGGAGGTGTTATCAGCTTTGGGGTTGAACAATGGGAAATTCTGTGTGATGTGGTTCAGGATGACCATGTCAGTGGGTTGCAGAAGTACGATTGCGGGAAAGGCCGTTGGAATACAGGAGATGAAGCAAACCTTGAGGCTGAAATGGTGAGTCTTCCTCAGGGACGCTGAAGTCACTTAGAATCAGGCAGATACTTGAGTAGAACTGTGAGTTCTGGGGCAGCTCACCCAAAATGCAACAATTCACCATGATTTATAATTTATCCTCATCCTGACTTGATAGACCCATCTTTTTACTCCTGTGCATTCTGTTACTTTGATACTTAAGCTTTCTAAACATTTTCATTGATTCTCTATTCTGGAACCTTCAGGGATTATGCCATCTGATGAAACTGTAAATTCCAGATGGGCACTTACGGCCCTCTGTCAATCTAGCTGTAATATCAATCTACCTGTAACAGCCCCTTTGCTGATACTCTGTGTGACTCTTGTCAGGCCAGTCTCCTTCCCCTTCTATCTTCCCTTCACTTTGACGCACACTGATCCCCCAAGCCTGGAATACCATTCCTCTCTTGGAGGCCAATCCAGATCTTTCCCTTAAAGTTCAGCTGAGATGCCCCTCTCAGTGAACAACTCCCCTGATGCACCTCAACCACCTAATCCCATCTTCTAATACTTTTTTCCTTGGAATTATGTTGGCATTCATACACAACAGAAACTGCATCCAGCATTTGCTTGTATACAGAGAGATTTAAAAAGAATTGGACACTTTCAAAAATACATTACTCCCAAAACTATTATTTATAAACATGGAGTTTGCACTTGAGGGTATATGAAGAAACTTGTTTGTACCTCCCAGCCTTGAGGAAATGAAAGAGTGCCTTGTAGCTGCTGTTCCTGCCGTCCAGTGGACACTGGGATTGATGTGTGTCATGGGATGTAAGGAGCGCTTATTGAGCATTTATAAGATCATGGGAATAAGATAGTTCCTTTACAAATTATATATTTACATGTAACACAGTTACTGAGTAGGAAACCTTTGAAGGTATTTGGGGTTTCTTATCACCCTGTGTTCCTTTAGAACTCTTCTTGAACTGTGTCTTGCACGTGTGGCACATGACACAGTAAATAGGTAGGTAGTAGGTAGGTAGATAAAAGTGAACTCTTTGATGGTCGCTTTTAGTTTTGTTTTCCCTTCAGTGTCCACTAAGGTAGTGGGAACAGTGCTAGCCTTCAATCCTTCAGTCAACCTGCTTAAAGAATAAGTTGTTAAATTGACACTTTGTTTTATTGAAATATAATTTAAGATAGACCTCTTCTGTCTCTCACATACTTATTTTGAATGAAATGGTAAGGATTAATATTTTATTTATTTTTTTTAAAGATTTTATTTATTTATCTGAGAGAGAGAATGGGAGACAGAGAGCATGAGAGGGGGAGGGTCAGAGGGAGAAGCAGACTCCCCGCCAAGCAGGGAGCCGAATGTGGGACTTGATCCCAGGACTTCAGGATCATGACCCGAGCTGAAGGCAGTCGCTTAACCAACTGAGCCACCCAGGCGCCCCGGATGTAATATTTTAAACAAGGAAATACGAGACTATTTCTAATCCTTAATATCATCTAGTATTTTTTTTAACCAAAATCTTCATTTTAAGTGATATCCCAAACACTTGCTTTGTGAGAGCCAAGCAAACATTTCTCCTTACTCCCTTCCTTGTAAGTACCAGCCTGTGTCCTTGAGTACCAAAATCAGTCTTCTCCTGTGTCCAAGCTCTGTCTGCCTCCTTTGTTAAGAATCTGTACCAATTCCAATTCAGGTGAGATGACCTATCATACAGCGTTTTTTCTTTCACTCATAGCCTGAGGAACTAAGTCTACAATCCTGTTTTGTTGTTTATTTTTTTTTGTGAATGTTGGTTTAAAAACTGAAAGTTGATCTATTTATTTGTACATTATTTACATATATGTGTAGATAACATACACAATGATACATGCGAGATTCATCTTGCTGTCTTAGAATTTTTAAAACCTTAAAGGGAAGGACTGTGTGCCAAGCATAATGTGACCATCCAATAAATGGCATATCGACCATCATAAATTTGGGTACATCAGAGGCCAAGAAATAGTGTGGGAGACAGATCTCTCCAGTATGACCTCATAAAGAGTGAATGATATTTTCTTTATTCTAACCCTGATTAGATCATGTTTTCTTCTGATTCATATCTTTTCCTGTGTGTTCTATTTTCTACATCTTTTTCAAATTACCCTTAGCTTTTCAACTTTATTGCTCTGTTTCTAATTCAAACTTAATATACGAAACCCTTGAGAATTTAAAAGGTAAAGTCCCAGGGCACTTGGGTGGCTCAGTCATTAAGCATCTGCCTTCCACTCAGGTCATGATCCCAGGGTACTGGAATCGAGCCCCGTGTCGGGCTCCCTGCTCAGCAGGAGGTCTGCTTCTCTCTCTCCCCCTGCTTGTGTTCCCTCTCTTGCTGTCTCTCTCTCTCTGTCAAATAAATAAATAAAATCTTTAAAATAAAATAAAAGGTAAAGTCCCTGGCAAGTTTTGGCAGAGGTACTACCAGTCTTTCCATGAAGGGCAAGAGGAAAAATCATTTTCAAAATAGGTCAGGCAGCAATATAAACTGTGGGGCAAGTACAGCTTTTTAAAATAAATTTTAGGGGTGGCGCCTGGGTGGCTCAGTCGTTAAGCTTCTGCCTTCGGCTCAGGTCATGATCCCAGGGTTCTGGGATCGAGCCCTGCATTGGGCTCCCTGCTCCGCGGGAAGCCTGCTTCTCCCTCTCCCCCTCCCCCTGCTCGTGTTCCCTCTCTCGCTGTGTCTCTCTCTGTCAAATAAACAAAATCTTTAAAAAAAATAAAATAAATTTTAGGGGCTCCTGGGTGGCTCAGTTGAGTGTCCAACTCTTGATTTTGGCTCAGGTCATGATCTCAGGGTCCTGGGATTGCTGAGTGGGGAGTCTGCTTGTCTCCCTCTCCCTCTGCCCCTCCCTCGACTCATGCTAAGCGCTCTCTCAAATAAATCTTTAAAAAAATAAAATAATAAAATTTTACATGTGTTCATTTTTTAACTAACGTTTATGGGGCACCTGTTATATGACAGTACCTATAATAGGTACTGGGGGTTTCACACATGAAGAGGAGGACAAACATGCCTGCTCACATTCTACTAAGGGGAGATAGTATATGGTAAAATACGTGACAGGGTCATAAGTGCTGTAGAGAAAGTCAGAACAGAGAAGGGGAATAGGGAGAGCCGTGAGGAGGGTGGTTACAGTTTCATGTAGGGTAATTCGAGAAAGCCTTACTACGAAGGTGACATTTGGGTAAAGACATGAGGAGGCAAGAGAAAGAGCTGTATGGCTATCAAGGGCGAGCAGTCCAGCAGAGGGGCAGTAAGCCAAAGGCGCTGAGGTGGGACTGTGCTTGGCATATTTGAGAAGGAATACACAAGGTCAGTGTGGCTGAAGTCAAGTAAGCAAAGGGATGTAGCAGAGGAGAAGGTTGTAGAGCTCACAAAGGGCCTGAGGGTGCAGGACCTTGAAGCACATAGTAAGGACTTTGCTTTTTATTCTGAGTGAAATAGGGAACCATGAAAGGGTTTTTTGTTTGTTTGTTTGTTTTTCAGATTTTTTAATTTTTTATGAGAGAGAGAGAGCACAAGCAGGGGGAGTGGCAGGCAGAGGGAGAGGGAGAAGCAGGCTCCCCGCTGAGCAGGGAGCCCGACGTGGGGCTCGATCCCAGGACCCTGGGATCATGACCCAAGCCGAAGGCAGACGCTTAACCGTCTGAGCCACCCAGGCGCCCCACCATGAAAGGGTTTTGGGCGGAGTTATGTGTGGCTTTCATTTCAAAGGGACTGTCTGCTGTGGTGGGAGACTATCACAGAAAACCTCTCAGGAAATTGTGGTGCCTTGGACCAGGTGAGAGCAGTAGAGGTGACAAGAAGGGGTCAGATCCTGGATATATTTTGAAAATAGAGTCAACAGATTTCCCAACAGATTGGTTGTGGGGTAAGAGGGAGAGAATAGATTCAAGGACGCCAAGGTTTTCATCCTGAGAACTGAAAAGAGTGGCATTGTCACCTAGGTTGGAAGCCTGGGAATGCAGCAGATGTGGAGGAAAGCAAGTTTGTAGGGAGGGAGAAAGTCAGGGATTTAACTGTAAAAGAAGTTCTTTTTTTTTTTTTTAATTTAATTTTTTAAGATTTTTATTCATCTGAGAGAGAGAGAGAAAGAGCACAAGCAGGGGGAGAGGCAGAGGGAGAGGGAGAAGCAACTCCCTGCTGAGCCGGGAGCCCGATATGGGGCTCAATCTCAGGACCCTGAGATCATGACCTGAGCTGAAGGCAGATGCTTAACCATCTGAGCCACCCAGGCGCCCCAAGAAGTTCTTTTATATTGTGCAGGTAAACCAAAGTGCCAACACAGTTTGTCCACCTCCACCAATCCCATGATTTGGGCCGTGTTTTTACTCTTGATTTAAAACCTTCTGGATAACTACAGTTCAGTGACTCTATCCCAATTTTATTGAGCCTATAGTTTATTTAATATATGATGGGAGGTTCATTCCAGGGGTAGTAATTTGAGGAAGTATAGCTACTCTGCCTCTGCTTCATATTCATATGCAAATCGTAGTGGCAATGGGAGTTAATAAATATTGTATTTTTTATTTAAAATAAAATATCCAGGTGTCATGATCCCATCACTAATGCTCTAAACAAAAGTTATCTAAAGTTTAAATAACCTTTTGTTCAAAAATAAACATTGTGAATACATGTTAAAATTTGGTAAAATATTGCAATTAATTTCATGTTTAAAAAATGAAATTATTTGGGGTGGTTAAGCCTCCAGAGTTCCTTTAAAAATGGAACAGTGGAAGTATCTTAGTAGGTGGTAGAAAGTCAGTTTTCTTGAGTAGGAGAAAAATTCTTTAGCCCTAAACAAAGTTGTCATCATCTTAATGGATTTTTTTTTCTGTGATATTGAAGAAGGTGGAGAAAGCCTCAGAATTTGCAGTTTCAAAAGCATTTTCTCCTACAAATTCCAATTTGTCCAGAAGGCTTTGGAGCCAAATCATAGATTTGGAAACATCTGAGCAAATAGAGGATCGTGATGAAGTCTATGCGGAAGGTAAGAGAATACATTTTTTTGCTGCAGTGTTAACAGTTCTTTAGAATACAGCTTATTAAAGCATAACCTATAATGCATTTCAAAGTACAGAATGGAAATTTTTCATTCTTTTGTGCTTAAGTTTCGTGTTTTTCCACCTCCCTGAAACTAATCTATCCTGGAGTGAACTCCAATATTACAAGTAAGGCTATACTTAAGGCTCATTCTGTCTTCTGAAATGGAACCACATCAAGAGGCAGGTTGATATGACACAGCTAACTAGTGAGTGTTATAAGGTATTCGTCCTGTGGCATGGAGGGCAACATGATCACTTGATCTAGTATTATGAGATCATTTGACCATTAGTTTGCAAATCCACTTTATTCTTTATGAAGAGAGTCTAAGATTGATCTAACCTTCCTACCTCCCCAAAACATTTACTCCTCTGGAATTTAGTATTTTAGTTTCTGTTGCTCTTGGGAACTCCAGCATTTAGGGATGAATAGATCAGGAGGAACCAGCAAAGACTGGAAAGGAGAAGCCACAGAGGAAGAAAGTCAGAGTGGCCATGTCCTGGAAGCCAGCTTCCATTTGGATGATTGTCTCTTTTTATTCCATTAACTTATTCCATTAAATGTCTCTATTTATTCATAGCATGTTTTTATTCAAAAAATATATATATACATATATAATTATTTATGTTTATAAGTATGTATATGATAAAAACTTTTATGTTTATAATATAATCTATTATATATATTTAAAAAATTATCACTCTGTGTCAGGTACTATTTTAGGTACTGGGGGAACCTAAAATTTTGAACAAGAGAGGCAAAGCCCTTGCTTTCATGGGGTATACATGCTAGTGTGAGAATAAAGGAAACTTAAAATTATTAGGTAGTGATAAGTCATTCAAGTTTGGACCTGAATAATAAGAAGGAGCCACCTAAGCAGTAATGGAGGAGGGGCATCCTAGACAGAGGGAAAGGTAGCATCAAGAGTTAAAGTATAGACAAGCTTGGTGTGCTTGAGGAACTGAAGGAAGACCAGTGTGGCTGGAACATCCCAATGGAGATGAGCGTGCAGGAGTGAGCAGAAGACCTAGTACATAGGGCCTATAGGCCTGGTAAAAGAATTTAGATTTTATTCTGAGTATGATGAGACATCATTGAAGGGTTTTAAGCAGTGGTACAACAGATCAATATTTTAAATATGAAAAGTGGATTATAGGGGAGAAAAGGAGGGAAAAGGGAGATCTGTGAGAGGCTGGTGCAGTGGTCTGGGTGAGCAGTAAAGGCCCTTGGTCTTGGGTGGTTGGTAGAACTGGAGATGGAAAAAGGAGATTGGTTCAGAAATTGGCAAGACTATGTCTTGCCCACCCCATCTCCCAACCCACTGTTGGGAATACACAATATACTTTAGCCTCTTAAAGTTTCTGAGAAGTCATACTGTCTAAAAACTAATGTTTACTTACCCCAAATCCCAAGCTTCTTATACCTGGAAACTCCTTTTAGCCTGAAATCCATATTCCTATCCTGAAGAGTTAGTGATACACATTAGAAAGTACTAGTGTATGAACAGAACATGGTTTTCAAAGGTTTATATCCCTTTTTCTCCTCTCATCAATCATCTGTTAATATTCAATAAGAACCAGTGTTCTGAGGAACATATTTTGAGAAACTCTGCTTTAATGTAGCCTTAGAGCCTCTGATCCAACAGGAGATGTTCCTGCAGTTGAACTCTCCAAGGGTAGTTCGCTTTCTTTGTGCTTTTGGGGCACTTCATAGCAAACCCCTCTTTACTAATGAATGGCATTGAGTAGATCTGAATTATTCTACATATAAATTATTATACATATAAATGTCTGACTTACTGTACACAGGGTTACTCAGTAAATATCTGTCCCCTTTCTCTACCTTCCTCTGAAAGCCAATAATATTTGTTGCTAGTATACTTTTTACACTTGGTTTCTACTATCTTGATTCATTCTTTTCTATTTTATATGTCCCGCATTCCTATCTATTTTAAATGCCTTTTGGCCTCATTTAATGTAAGAAACATTCCATTCCCTCAGAGCTATATGATCATGGTAACAGTGATGAAGATAGTGCTGAAATATATACTTTTCTTCTTTGAAACCCCTATGCCTGCCCATAGAGCTGTTTGATAATGATGATAGTGATGAACGTATTGCTAAAGTAGACATTTTCTCTCATACCTATATATTTAAGATTTTCTGAATATCACCAAGAAAGAAATTCAAATAGAAGTTGGCTTCCAGGAAATCACACTATTTTGATTTTCCTCCTACCTCAATGGCCTCTCCTTCCTAGCCTGCTTTTCCGGTTCTGCCTTATCTCTTCAACCCCTAATACTGGAGTTCTTCAGGGCTTATTCCTGGAACCAGTTCTCTACCCATCTTCCTCTTTTGGTGCTCTCATCCACTTCTGTGGCATTAAATTCTATCCATATGCTGATGACACCCACATTTATTTCTCGAGCTTGGACCTCTCCCCAGAAATCCAGAGTGGTATAGCCAATACCTGTTTGACACTCTTATTTGTATGTCTCCTAAGCATTTCAAACCCAACTAGTCTAAAACTGAATTCCTGATCTTCCCTCCTGACCTGCTCCTCCCTCAGCCTTCCCTGTCTCAGTAAATGGCATCTCCATTTTTGCAGTTGCTTAGGCCAGAAACCTTGCAGACTTCTTTCATTTCCCATATCTGCTACATCAGCAAATCCATCAATTGCATCTCAAAACAATACTTTCTAAAATTGGACGATTTTTAATACTTCCTCTCCAGGTCCAGGCTACTGTCACTTTCCTGGATTATTGCATTTGCCTCCCAATTGGTGTCCCCTGCTTCTGTGCAAGGGATTTTCAACCTCAGCACTGTTGATGTTGATTTTCAACCTCAGCACTGTTGATGATATAACAGATAATTATCTTTGGGGTGGGGGCTGTTCCATGCATTGTTGGATGTTTAGCCACATATCTGCCCTCTGCCTACCAGATGCTAGTATCATTTATCCCTGTTATGATAACCAAAAATGGCCCCAGACATTGCCAGATGTCCACTGGGGGGCAAGATTATCCCTGATCTAGAACCAGTGCTCTAAATCTGATCCCCACATTACCTCTTTACTTCATCTCCTGTTATTACCCCTTCACTCACTCCTTTCTAGCCACACTGCCTCCTTTCTACTTCTCCAACACTCTGGACATTTTCTTCCTTAGGACCTTTGCAAATGCTTTCCCTCTGCATGGAATAACCATATGGCTCACTCCCTCACTTTCTTCCCTTCTTTGCCCAGATGTCTTCTCAGTGAGGCCTTCTTTGAACCCCAAATTTAAAACTATCAATACCTACCTTCCATTTCTTACACACCATTTCTCCTTTGCCTGCTCTGTTTTTCAGATTTACTTATTTTTTGTCTCTCTTCAATTAGAATGTAAACTTCATTGGTGATAAGTTTTATTTGTCCTATTTGTTGCTCTTTTCCCAGCATCTAACACAGTACCTGACACATGATAGATGCTCAGTATTTACTGAGTGAATGAAAACAGTGAATGAAGAAAGTCTTTGAAGTAATAGGAATATTAAAAAGATTTTTTTGTTTTATTGATAGCTCAGGAGCTAGTCAATGACTGGTTAGACACCAAACTTAAGCAAGAACTAGCAAGTGATGGTGAAGATGGTGCTGAAGACACTGTGTCAAATATCCTTCCTGTGCCGGAAGCCAGTGATCATTTGAAATATGACAAGTTTGATGGTAAGAACTTGTCTGATTGTTCTAAGCTTTAACATCTAATGAATGTATCTAAGAAGTCTTTTTAATTGTTTTAAATAATAAATGCTATATTTGACTTTTCTATGATTTGCTTAGTTTTATAATTGGCTTTAATTTTTCTTGGTTCAATTTAAATTACTTATCTGTATCCTCAGTATGTTCATGGTGTTTTTTAAATTAAAATATTCTATTTGTAATTCTTCTTATGATTATAATAGCAATTAATGCTCTTTGAGTGTCTCTTCCCATATATTGTTGGATGACTCTTTACTCTGATGGGGCTACATTTAAACATTTTATATTTATAAAAGAGTTTACTACTTGTACACACAACTAGTGAGTGAGGGTTCCTCGAATGTACTCAGAATTTGGTATTTTTTTTCCTCAGCATAAAGGTAGGCCTGGTGATGGTGGTGGGCAGCAGCTCCTCCTGTGTGACTCACACACCCTTGGTAATCTCACCTGGCAGAATTCCCCTTGTTTAGGACTCTAGAAAAATCTACAAAATCCCCAGCCTAGGAATCACAAAGTCATGAGCTCTTAAAGTTAGAGGAATCCTTCTAGATCACCTAGTCTGATCTCCCTGCTTCACCCCCTCAGATAGAGATCCTTCTGTAGTATCCCTCACATGGGGTGATAGAATCTCTGCCAGCACATCTCCCAGGATAGAAGGAGCCCATTCACTTGTTGTGGGGCTCTAATCCTCATACATTTTTCTCTCAGGAGAATTAGGAGTTTGACCTCTGTAACCCTTTAGTGTAAGAGAAAATAATACCATGTTCCCTTTCCCAAGAAAAGTAGTAGTGTTGTTGTTGTAGTTTGCACGTGATATAATCATGTCTGATCTCTCATATACTTCAATGTTCCTAGCTTAAATATACCAATTCTCACAGTAGTTCTTTATATCACATTGTTTCTAAATCTTATCATGCCGGTTGCCTCCTTCTGGATGTTTTCTAATTTATTAATGTCATTATTAAAGTGAGGCATTTTCATACTTCATATTTATTCTGAAGCATATACGGAATATAGTGAAACTATGACTCCTTTCATATGGTGCTAATAGATCTAGTTATATTTCTTTACCAGGCCTCATTCATCTTATGCTTGTAGAGCTTTTTGTTTTATTTTCCTTTTTTTTTTTTTTGATTGAAACATTCCTATTATGTAGCCATTTAAAAAGGATGTTTACCAAAAATACTGATTAATGGGATTATCTCAATAGACTCAGAAAAAGTACTTGACAAAATCTGACAACCATTCCTGATAAAAATGCTCAGCAAACTAGTAATAGAAGGTAAATTCCTCAACCTGACAAAGGGCATTTACTGAAGACATACAGAAAACAAATACCAAAATGACAAACATAAGCTATAGGTTATCAGGAATTACATCTAATGTAAATGGATTAAACAGTCCAATTAAAAGACAAAGATTGGCAGAATGATTTTTAAAATACATAATTATATGCTATCCACAGGAGACACAATTTAGATTCAAAGACACAAATAGATTGAAAGTAAAAAGATGGAAAAAGCTATACCATGCAATCAGTAACCAAAAGAAAGTGAGAGCAGCTTACTAATTCAGGAAAAAAATAGACTGTAACTAAAAAATTGTTACTAGGGACCAAGAAGGGCATTTTATAATGATAAAGGGTCAGCCATCAATAAAACATAACAAGTATAAACATACGTACACCTAAGAAAAGAGCCCCAAAATAGGGGCGCCTGGGTGGCTCAGTTGGGTAAGCATCTGCCTTCAGCTCGGGTCATGATTTCGGGGTCCTGGGATGAGCACTGCATTGGCCTCCCTGCTCAACGGCGAGGCTGCTTCTCTCTCTCTGCCCCTCCCCCTGCTCATGTTCTCTCTCTCTCTCTCTCTCTCTCAAATAAAATCTTTTAAAAAAAAAAGCCCTAAAATACATGAAGCAAAAACTGACAAAGTTGAGGGGAGAAATAGGTAATTGTACAATTCTCCAAATTATTTGGAGACCTTATACCCCATTTTCAGTGATGTATGGAACTAAACAGAACATCAACAAGGAAGATGTTCCTATAATTAGTCATTGAGAAAATGCAAATTAAAACTACCTTGAGTAACCACTACATACGGTTTATATCCAAAGACTGACCGTACTAAGTATTGGTGAGGATGTAGAGGAACCAGAACACTCCAATACTGCTGGTGAGAATATAAAATTTTGTGACCACTTTGGAAAACTGCTTGACAGTTTTTTAAAAAGTTAAACAGATACTTCTATGATCAAGCCATTCCACTCCTAGGCATTTTTCCAAGAGAAAACAAAGCATATGTTCATACAAAAACTGGTACACAAATGTTTATAACAACTTTGTCATAGCCAAAATCTGGAAACAGCCCAAATGTCTATCCATGAATGAATGAACAAATTATGGTATACCCATACAGTGGAATACTAATCAGCAGTAAAAAGTGATGAACTGTTGATACAACAACATGATGAATCTCAGAAGTAATTGTGCTGAGTAAAAGAAGCCTGACCAAAAAAAGAGTACATAGTGTATGATTTAATTGATAAGAAATTCTAGAAAATGTAAATTAATTTATCCTGAGAGAAAGCAGGTCTGTGGTTGCCTGGGATAAGACCGAGAACATGGGGAGGAGTGGGAGGAAGAGATTGCAAATCAGTCTGAGGACCCTTTTGGAACTGACAGACATGTTCTTTATCTTGATTATAGTGATGGTTTTACTGGTAGATGTATATGTCAAAACTTATGGTAGACTTTAAATATTTACAGTGTATGTATGTCAGTTATACCTCAATAAAGCCATTTAAAAAAAACAATGGAGTCTTCAAGGATGTTTAGACTGAAGTAGTATCTTTTACATTTGGCAGTGAAGGAGTCTTTCATGTCTTGGGTGATGATAATTCCTCATGAGTGGAATTTTCTTTCCTCTCAGTTGAAGGTAGTTAATTGCTGAGGGCTATACTCATCCAATTGGCATTATCAGTTACTATTTATTGAACACTCAGCTTCATATTTTTATTGTACCAAGATTATTTATATAAATATGGAAATTGTACTAAATTTTTTTTTTAATTTTCCCTTTTTTTGTTGTTGCTCTGTCTCCTCCAGAGTTGTGTGGCTATTTGGAGGAAGAAGAGGAAAGTACCACCGTTCAAAAATTTATAGACCATCTGCTCCATAAAAAAGTGGTGGATTCTGGAATGTTGGAAGATCTTGGAATGAATGGAAACCAAGACAAGCAGCAGCAGAAGGATCCTCGTCTTACCATGGAGATGAGACATAAGCAGGTGGGAGGGAAAAACAAAATTAAAATGGGTAACAGGAAGCAATCTTTGTGTAGCACATTTAATAAGCTTAAATGAAGACTTAGGTTTTATTATGAAAAAGAGTGCCATCTGTGGTTTGGTTAGAAAGAATAAAAATAAAATATAAGAACTTAGAAGAAAAATAATGCTCATAAACTGAGGACAGGAAACAGTTTATTTAAAAAAACCAAAAGAAGGAATAATTGATTTTGAACAATGGAGTGGGTGAACTAAACTTTATTAGTTTGTATATGGTACTATTATAAATATGTAGATTGGTTTTGCTTGAATTTGATTTTTGAACTGTGACATCAAAATATTAATATCATGAATATTCTAGTGACTGTTATAATGGTAATTCTTTTCCAGACAACTGAAAAATTGACTCATTTTGTGATTATAATTTGAAAGGGAGGACAGATCTGAATTAAATCTAGTTCAGCTGTTTTGAATTAGAAAGGCATATGGGAACTTTCTTTTCTTCAAAGGGAATAAATAGTGGGTTATAGGAAAAAGATGCGTCTCAATTCTTTGTAGAGGAGCTTCAGGAAATCAGAATGACCAAGTCTTTTCCACATGTCCAGAACTAAGACTGAACTAGAATGAATGTCTGTACATTGTATGTTGTCTTTTTATGACCCTGAATTTCTGATTGCTTTAAAGCATTAAGGTGTGCCTAATCAGCACTGAGGATGTTAGAAAAAGGGGTAGAAGTATGATCCTAGTTTGGGTTTGTGATAAAAGGGAGGAGAGAAGGTTCAATAAGAGATTGCCAATATCTAGAAGTCTTATAAGTAAAGAATAAGATAAGGTCAGTGAAGGGGAGGTAAAGGAGCACTCCTTAATTCATAGCTAGAAGAGCCGCTAGAGAATTAATGGGTTTGAAAAATTGATTGTGCTTATTCAGAAATATCATGGTTTTGATTTCCAAATATGAGCCAGAATCATTGATACATTTAAATAACGATCCAAGTGAATAGTGTTGTGGGGCGCCTGGGTGGCTCAGTCGGTTAAGCGTCTGCCTTTGGCTCAGGTCATGATCCCAGGGTCCTGGGATCGAGCCCCGCATCGGGCTTCCTGCTCCGCGGGAAGCCTGCTTCTCCCTCTCCCACTCTCCCTGCTTGTGTTCCCTCTCTCGCTGTGTCTCTCTCTGTCAAATAAATAAATAAAAATATTTTTAAAAAAATGAATAATGTTGTGTTCCTCAGGCAGTAAATCACTGTTGTATCTTTCACGATGTAGCCTCCCCAAAATATCCATATTCTTTCTTAAATGGCATGCACAAAGGGCCTAAATAAACAGCAGTAGCATACACCTTGGAAAATTTTAGGGGTGGGATATCATTACTATGTAAGAATCCAGAACTTGGCATCTGACCCAGTAAATTTTCAACTTTTCCATGGTGCAGATCATTCCCAGAGTGCTGGGAGTCCTCTGACCTGACTTCATCTAGACTTTTGTATTGGCTCTTACCCAAGTAAACAAATGAATTCTTCCTATTCTTCCAATGAACAGTGAGCTTCTGGGCCAGAATCTTTCCAACTGGGCATATTGTGAACTTGGAAATGTATTCTAAGCTTTTGTGTATCCTTTTCTACTTGAAAGGCTGCATTCCACCCTCACTGTGTTCTCTTTAAGGTAAAAGAAAACCGCATGAGACGTGAGAAAGAACTGGAGCGCCAGAGAATGGAAAAGACCCTGAAAAAATCGGTCTTCTTAGAGGCTCAGTATTTGGTGCAGGTAGAGAAGAGAAAGAAGGCTCTGGAAGCCAAGAAAGAGGAGGAGGAGATTCAAAGGGAGATGGTAAAGCTGCGGAGGGAGATAATTGAGAGGAGACGAACTGTGGAAGAAGCATGGAAAATGTAAGCCAGCCGTGGTGAGCGGTGTGAAGTTTTTTTTGTCTAAGCAGTCATTTTGGAAGTTTAAAAACATGGACATTGTGATAACAAAACACAAAGAAGAAATCACCCACGATTTCATGATGTTAACAAATTGTTTATGTTTTTCTGTTTCCTCTGGGTCTTGATCCCTTTACATACTTAATTGCAACCATAAAGTACGTTTATTTTGCTTGTTTTAGTTAACACATTGCCCAGAGTCCTGAGGTCTGTATATTATTTCTCCATTGAGTTCCTAGACCGTAATTTATGTAATTAGCTTCCCCCCCATCTGATAAGCATTTCAACTATTTCAGGTTTTTCACCATATAATAATGTAGTGAGCTTCCTTGAGCATAGAGCTTTCTACATTCTTAGGCATGTAATTACTGAGTTAAATGGTATAGGCCTTTGATGACTCTTGAAACATTGGCAAATTGCTTTCTAAATGGGTTGTACTTATTTACACTATTGCTGGCAGTGGACAAGGTTACCACACTCTTTTTAGCTTTGGGAAGTACTATCATTTTCAATACTTTTGCACTTTCAATAGGTATTATGTTGGTTAGTTTGCATTTCTTTGGTTACCTGAACATTGTTAAAATTGTCTGCTAATTGTGCCTCAGCCTATGTGAAGGGTGTGAGTGTCTTATCTTTTGATAATCATACAGAGTCATCATTGCCCTCCAACCACTGACAAAGAACAGGAATATCTGAGCTAAGAGGAAAATCAAAATAGTCCTCACAGGATGTAGTACTGTTATATATCCTCATGCAGAAAATGAGCTTCTAAATGAAATAACTAATGTATTTATTCTGAGAAACAGCACTGGTGCATGAACTGCAAAAAGCCTTGGAGTAACGTGCCTGAAGTGACTGAATACTCAAACTCAGAGGCCAGAAAGACCTATTCGATAATCCCTCTCGCCCCCATCAGCCTACACAGCTTTTCCCCCTGTGTTCCTGATTGCTCTTATTCTACCCAATTTAAAACAGCTCGGCAGTGGACGAGTGCTTCACTCTTTCAAGTGCCAGCCTTAGGCCTCCTCCAGACACCATTCCTTTTAGAAAGCAATCACCGGTGTTTTAGTGAGTTCTTGCTAAGGTCAACCTTACTTTTAGATTGCTTTTAAACCCTGAAAAATCTAGGCTGACCTAAAATAAATAGTGAAAACAAGTAACATTTGATGGGAGCGGGATGCTGTGCTCATAGTGGGCGCTCAGCAGATGCTCACTGACCACTCCTTAAAATCTTAGCCATGGTTACAGTGATTCAGGTAACATGCTATACTGCTAGCAGATGAACTGATTTAAACGTTCCACAAGGCAATTTGGCAATAAACAACAGGAGCCATAAAAATGGTATTACCGCTTGACCTGGAAATTCCAGTCTTAGGAAAACACCCCTAAGAAAATGATCAGAAATCCAAAGATTTGTGCACAAAGATAATATTATTTATATTGGGCATTAATAAATACTGGAGAAATTAATGAAAATGGTTATACAATGAGGCAGCACTGACTGTTGTCAGTGTTTTTTTCTGGGTGGAAATATGGATGGCTTTTATATCCAATTTTTCACAATAAGCGGCTATCCCTTTTATAACAGATACATATTTTAATGTTATTTGAAAATCAGATCCATGGTATTAGAACTGTATTTCTTTAAATGGCCACTGTGGTCGGCCTATAACTGTCTAACACTGTTATGGCATTTGGATAGAGTCAGTAAAATTTTATTATTGATAGTTTTTAATTTCTTTGTAAGCTATCCTAAATCTGCTTTATTGCATAGTTTCAAAATATCTCCTCTAAGAGATTTATTAATTATTAATTAATTAAGGCAAAAATGGCAACTTCATACTGGAGAGGTCCCCTTAGCCAAGTGATGGTTAACATCACCAATAATAAGATATAACACTGTGTGTCCTCTGTATGTATATGAGAATTAATGAGAATGTCTATAGAGTAGCCTGGCATCCCTCTCAACTTGAGTTTCCACAACTATAAAGTGAAATTCAGAAAGATAAGGTGACCTGTGTGAGTTTTCACAGCTGGTTTGTGGCCAGAGCCCATGAATCCTGATTCCTGACTATTTCTACTGTATCATTGGTAGTATATATACCTTCCACACATATACATACATATACTTTAGTACACTCCAGTAAGAAGGCAGTGACTATGAGCTTGCTTGAATTGGCATGTGGAAGAGGGATGACCTGGATGAGAAAGGATATGTGGGTGAGACAGCGGATGACCAGAGAAATAAGCAACAAAGTTACAGAGTGATTCCTGTCACTTGCCTGAAAGTTTTTTCCTTATTGTTATTAAGTTCTATTTTTTCTCTTTTCAGCTATTTTAGAATTAATATAAATTTCACTCTCTCGTTATACAAGAATACCTAATTCTTTTGTTATTTTTCTCCCTAGAAGCCTTGTAAAAGCCTTGGGGTAAAAATCTCATCCCTCTCTTACCTGAGGGTCCTTTTTTGGTCTCTCCCTTAGAAGAAAAGAGAGAGCTTATGTCTACATATTGTTAACTCAAATTTTGATCTAAGTATCCCTCGATGATAAACTCAATAAAAATACTTTACCAAAATATTTATAGGGCTTTCTAATTTCAGAGTGTATGTCTCTTATTTAATCTATATTTTATAAAGGAGTAAACTAAGGCTTAAAAAAAAAAAAATCACCCTACAATGTAGTTTTAGAACCAAATCTAAAAATCTGTCTTCTGGGGGTGCCTGGGTGGCTCAGTTGTTAAGCGTCTGCCTTTGGCTCAGGTCATGATCCCAGGGTCCTGGGATCGAGCCCCGCATCGGGCTCTCTGCTCCGTGGGAAGCCTGCTTCTCCCTCTCCCACTCTCCCTGCTTGTGTTCCCTCTCTCGCTGTGTCTCTGTCAAATAAATAAAATCTTTTAAAAAAAATTTAAAAAAAATAAAAATCTGTCTTCTGATGGAAAATTCAGTGTTCATTCCACTATAGTAGGTTGTAATTACCCATCATTAATTCTGTTGTTCATACATGTATTTTTTAAAATTGTTAACAGAGAGAGGAAAAAGCAGGAAGAAAATTCTCCCAAAAATACAGAAAAAGGCATGGTTCAGAGTGATTATATTCTTCTGGGTGAAGAAAAAATGGCGAAAGAAAGAAAGAAGAAACTGAGAGAGTTATTAATCCAAACTTTCAAGGAAAATCATCAGGTGGGAATTATAACTTCTCTTTTTTCAGCATTCTGTGGTGTAAATGACAGAGGGCTCCATCAGAGATGGGCCAGTGTCACACTAAGCCCAACTGAGCCTCATCGCAAATACCAAATTGCCCACACCGTTGGTTCTATGCTGCCCACCTGACCTAGGTAGGGCATGGGGTTGTGCTCCAGTCCTCTGTGCAGGGGCTATTCTTATAGATACTTTGATCTTGGGAAATCGGATGTGAATCTAGGGTGGCTTCCTAAATTACTCTTTTCAGAATAGCATGTAACTACTAATGTAGATCTCTGGTAGGTTTTGAAAGCTTGGCTTCCACAGTCTTCTGGATTATTCAGAAGAATTACTCAGAAAAGTCACTTGCCTTCTGGGAGCTAAGATCTTAAAGCAGTGATACACTTCTCCTTTTCATGGTCTGCATTTTATTTTACTCTTTTCTCCCTCTCTTTTACTTTTTGTAAAAAACAAAACAAAACAACAACAAAAAAAACTAGTCTATTTTTATTGACAAATGAGCATCCTTTCCAGGCCATTTAAGCAGAAATTTCTTTCAGTGAAGTGGGATTGACAGCAGTATGCCTTTGGAACTTACAACATTTCAGGTAAAAGGGATTAGTTGGAAGACATGTAAAGTGAGAAGGTTGGATGAGAAAAGATAGATATGATATTTTATATTTCTTGTAACACCCACCCAAAGCCTTAGGCTTCGCTGAAATTCAGTGAAAGTTAGTGAAGTGAATGCAGGAATGCACAGATTTAACAAGAGAAAAGACAATGTCAAGATGATATTGAGGGAGCTTGATAAATATAGGATAGACTTACAGAAGCCCTGGAAATCAGTATCAGAAATTTGAATATAATATTGATAACTGGGATATGAGCCAGAAAGTAATGTAATCTAAACAATTTAAAAAGAGACATGGGCGCCTAGGTGGCTCAGTCGCTTAAGCATCTGCCTTTGGCTTACGTCATGATCTCAGGGTCCTGGGATTGAGCCCCGTGTCAGGCTCCCTGCTCAGCGGGGAGTCTGCTTCTCCCTCTCCCTCGTGGTCTCCCTCTCAAATCTTAAAAAGAGAGAGAGAGATGTTTGATGGAGGTATTTTGGACTGATGGGCAAGAAGTCATAATTATTGAGATATAAAACAACAAAAGCTTTGGTCAGAGTTTTGGCTTTAGGAATAGTGAGGGAAGAGTTAGGAGAAGGAAATGTTAAGAGTTGACATTAACATTTTGAGAAAGATTGGCAAGGACTCAGATGTTGTATCCTTCACAAGACCGAATTGGTGTGTCCTACAATAACAGTTCAGATTTCTGAAGGAAAATGGGAAAGGAGATGAATACTCAGGGGGCCATCTAGAGAAGGAGTGAGGAAAACGTGCCATGATATGTTACCCATCCAATGAGAGATGAATAAGACATGTGTTTTCTAGAAACTTAATTTTTAAATTCACTGTACAGGAAGAAATAATACATGTTTTAGGTAGAAGTGGCTAGTTATGAATTTTAGACACTTGAGAAGAGTTTTACAAAATTAGTGGTCCACCTAAAACCGATTACTCAGTTTTAAAAAGACCAACCAGTGTAACTTAAAAATGTGAGATTATGAATAAATTATCTCCACTCCTCACAGATTCTGCTTGATCTAAACCTATACTATATTGTTGTTAAGTTCTCATTTTGAAATAATTTTAGACATACAGAAAAATTGCAGAAACAGGACACAGAATACCTGAATTCCCTTCATGCAGCTTCCCCCAATGTTAACATCTTACGTAAATGTAACATAATTATCAAAACTAGGAAATTAACCTTGGTACAATACCATCAAATACCATTAACTAAACTATACACCTTATTAGAATGTCACCAGTTTTTCCACTAATGTCCTTTTTCTATTCCAGGACTTAGCCCATGATTCTACATTAGAGAATGCCTAGGAATAATAAAATAAAAAAAACTTAAAAAAAAAAGAGAATGCCTAGGAGTATATATCTAGGATTCAGTCCATAATTCTGTTTCATATAGCTGTCATGTCTCCTTTGCCTCTTCCAGCTTTATGACAATAGCTCCTCAGTCTTTCCTTATCTTTTTGGCCTTGACATTTTTTAAGGGTACTGATCAGGTATTTTGTACAATGTCTCTCAGCATTCTGAAAACATTGGGTTTTCTGATATTTTCTCCTGCTTAGATTGAGATTATGCATTTTTGGCAACTTTACTACAAGAAGTGATGCTGTGCCCTTCTCAGGATCATACTGGGGGTACACAGTGTTAGTATGCTGGGTTTCTGTACTGTAAAGTTGCTTGTATTTTTTATTGTATTTTTTATTTTTTTATTATTTTTTTAAGATTTTATTTATTTGTCAGAAGAGAGAGAGCGAGAGAGAGCAGCAAGCAGAGGGAGAAGCCGATTCCCCACTGAGTAAGGAGCCCAATGTGGTACTCGATTCCAGGACCCTGGGATCATGACTGGAGCCAAGGCAGACGCTTAATGGTTGGAGCCACCCAGGCGCCCTATTTTTTTATTTTTTTTGAGAGAGATCAAGCATGAGCGAGAGTGAGTGGGGGGGGAGGGGGAGAGGGAGACAGAGAATCTCAAGCAGGCTCCATGCCCAGTGCAGAGCCTGATGCAGGGCTCAATCTTACAACCCTGAAATCATGACCTGAGCCTAAGCCAAGAGTCAGATGCTTAACCGACTGAGCCACCCAGGTGCTCCTGTACTGTAAAGTTACTATATCTCCTTTGGAATGTCTTAGAGGAGATATAGTAAAATATGCAAATATCCTGTTTCTCCTTAAACTTTCACTTATTAATTTTAACATCCATTGGTAGGTCTTGCCTGTAACATTAATGTATTTGTCTAATGATGATTTTGTATTTCCCTCATTTCTTCGTCATTTATTAATTGAAATTCTTCTAGAAAGAAAACCTGTCCTTTCTCCCCATTTATTTATTTATATATTCAATTATGTCCTCTTAGCAGCATGGGCTCATGGGTATTTATTTTAGTTTGTGGGTGATTATTATTATTGCTTACTCTATTACTCAAATTGTTCTGACTTTGGCCATTGGAAAATCTTTCAGGTTGACTTCTTTGTTCTTTCAAAATGCTTCCATGCTTTTTTGAGCACTTCCTTTCTTTCTGGCACAATGGGACATTCAGGCCCATCTTGTATTTTCCCTTTCTAGCCCTGGAATCAACCACTTCTACACAGAACTCTGGTTTCTTTATTGGAGAATAGTATTTAGAAACCCAAATATGAATACTGGGTGCTATTACTGCTACTGGGGTGTCATTACTCAGCAGACAGAGCTGGGTAATGTGTGTATACTAACCCACACATATATACACATTATATGTATTTCTGTGTTTGTCTGTCTGTAGACATGTTAAAATCCGTGAGTTCATACTGATACCTCGAATTCCAGTGCAGTAACACAGGGGCCATGGTATCCTTTGCTCTTCCTTATTTATAACTTCTTTCTATAACTATCTGTATATGTTTATTAAAATAATCATGAGTTCATAATGATGCCTTCAACCCTAATCCAGCACCACACGTTTCAGTGTACCCTTTCCCCCTTGCTTATTTATAATTCCTTTCTCTGGCAGTGAGAAATCTGGCACTCATTACCCAAAATATATTTACTTATTTAATCCTGCTATACTATAAAAGTGGTTTCAGAATCACTAACCCATACTGCTCTGTAAACAAATTCGCTAACCAGAGTACAATATTGGTACATTATTTTCATTTTCAGTCGCATTCAGCCAGAATATTATTACTTAGGTTATAGGTTAGGTTCTGTTCTTCCCCTTCCATTTCAGTGTGATTATGTTATTTATTTGCAACATGGCTAGTGAACCTGTAATTTTGATTTCCCCTATATATATGAGTGTAACAAGACATGGGGAAAATCCCCCTACCAGACTCCTCAGGTTTTTACGTAGACTTGGCTGGAGACAGGACAGTCCTCTGGTAAATGCCATGGAGTAGCAGACCCCCTGGGCTCATTACCTTGGCCCTAGTCCACATTCCTAGCCTGGTTCTAAAGGAGCCTAAAGCTGCCCTTGGGTAATGAAACTTGAACACTCAGCAGCCTAAATATGACCACAGGATAAAAAGGGGGAAAATGCCTAGCTGGCTTGCAGTGAGTGGCTAGATAACAGGAAACTCTTGTCAGCACCCTCAAAATGGTTCACTGTCACAAGCCCAATAGCAAGCTATATAGAGTATTTGTAGGAAGACTTTAAAGAATCTGTTTCTAAGAGGAATTCCAGTTCAAGCTCCTTTAATTCTTGTAATTCTCTGTGCTTTGACTCTGGATTGTATTTGTTCCCCCAGACAGTCTCTTTTAACATCACATGTGGGCCCAGTTATTCAATAGGAGACTTTCTGAGAGAAACAGAGCTGGCCCTCTTATCCAAACAGAGGTTCAGGTGCAGTGCTGTGTGTGCATCTTCCCCACATATTTCATTGCCTGGTCTCTTTGTTATATCAAAAACATCTCTTTCTGTATAGAAACTTTCTACTTCCATTTTCCATCCTATTTTCTCTTTGATCTTGCAGTGAAATCTCTTGGGGAGATACAGCAGTCCTCATATCATTGCTAATTAGCAGAAACAACAAGGGATTAACTGTGAAACTCTTATACTATTTGGGAAATGGCCTTCTTAATTCTAACCCTGTTCTGAAATACATTTTATGTTTTCTTAAGAAGATAAGAAAGTCTATGATCTTTGCTGCTTGTGAAAGTTGAAGAGAACAATGAAAGATGAGTTGATACTAACTTAAATCTTAATTCTGTGCGGGAAGTTTTGGTTTGCTTGTTTGGTTGGGTTTTTCTGTTAGTAAGATAATAGTGACCCAAAGGAATCATTGTTAATGTTGCGCTTACGGCATAGCACCTTCCAAAAGGCCACCCCACACTAAACCAGGGGAACATGGAGATATATGGAAAAGAAGCCTGGATTTTTCTGACAAGATGATGAA